GGCCAGAAGAGGGGGTTCAGGAAAGATTGGTCCCAACCAATTTTTTCCCCTTAATATTTCTTAGCTCACTTAGTTCCTTAATGTTTTAAGAATGATCTACACTGAGAAGAGGGCTATTAAATAAATGACACTTGGGCCAGGTCTACACTATAAACTTGCATGGGTGTAACTAAGGGCTTTTCTACACTTACATTTTATAGCGCTCTAACTTGCTGGCTCAGGGGGGTGAAAAATCAAATTCACCCCCCTGAGTGCAGCAAGTCTGAGCACTTTAAAGCGCTGGTGTAAACAGGCTCCAAGCGCTGGGAGCTGCACTCCCAGAGCTTGGAGCTAATCCCCTCGTGGAGGTGGATTGCCAGGAGCTCTCTCGCGCGCGACCACACTTGCACTTCAAAGTGCTGCCGCAGGAGCGTTCCCGCAACAGCACTTTGACGTTTCCAGTGTAGCCATGCCCCTTGTCATTCAGGAGTGTGAAAAATCAACACTCCTGAGGGACAGTTATACCGACCTAACTCCCAGTCAACTATGTCAACAGGAGGGCTTCTATCAACATAGCTACTGCCTCTCATGGAGGTGGATTTAACTATATTCATGGCATAGTAGCATCTTCACTGAAGCGCGAGCAGCTGTGCCACTGCAGTGTTTTAAGTGTAGACCCAGCTTTGATCATTATTGATTTAATTGGTTTGACATTCCTGTGCTCAATGTTTTGTGAAGTAGTGTTAGTTTATCAACATCTTTTGGCTTTGTATTCAACTCCAAAAAGTTTAGCAATGAAAGAAACAACTTCTATTAAGCTTTTAGACCGCGATCAAAATTCCCATTTTTAAGCCATCTCACAAGTTTGTCAGTATGTCATTAAAACAATATAGCGCAAAGTGCTGACATTCTCCCAAGAAACTCGCAAAACTAATGATGAATTTTTCCAGTAGGCCAAAACCATACAACTTTAAAATGTAACATCAAACAAAACATTGATCTGAAAAATTAAATGACATTGCCACCTCCAACTTGGGGGGGGGGGGAAACGGGGGGGATTAAGTACATTTCTAATGTTCAATATTTTCTCAGTCTTGTAAATGTGTCTTTAAAATAGCATAGTTTATTGCTATTTTAGCAGGTAAAACGAAGTGTGTGTTCTATGTACATTTTCCTTTGTACCCCCACTTATCCCTGCTGGCATTCAGGCACTGAACAGGTACAATGACATCTACTCTCAAGTCAGGCTACGGTACAGCTGTTAAACAGTTATTCCATATAGAATTGTATTGCAGACTTTCATGTCAAGATACTTAGGAAGGATAGTCATAATTTTCATGACATAAAACTTCTCTGGGTTTAAAGACATTCGTTGATGACTAGATCAGTTGGTCCAGAGTTTAGATAGACAGACCAAATGCAACTTTTTATCTCACTGTTGTTGTATTAAAAGGAAGTTTATACATTTTAATATGATAAATGAAGGGTTAAGATACTACAACTTTATTCAGTGATGACCAAAAACCTTTAAGCACTTGATAATTTTTTAGCCATGTTAACTGCCTGGCATTTTTCCTTTAGTTCTTAAATTCTGTGGCATTTTGAGAGACTGGGTTTCCAGTTCACATCCTTTTTCAAGCCATAGTCATCTCTTTGAACATCCATGTTTTTCAGAATCTCAGACTGTTCTAGTGGAATCCAGTTAAAAACCAGAAGAAAGTAACATTTTAAATATTTGATATTTTATAATTGAAATTGAGATACTTAGGGTCTGCTCTAAATCCTAAAGTGTGTGTATATAATTGGGAAACATAGATGCGTTGATTGCATTCTTGTTTTCCTAATCTGTTGTCTTTTTTAAATATAAAGCTTCCATAAAGTGAATTTCAACAAAGCACTTCTTCCTACATTTTAATTTGGTCTGATACTTTTTAACTAGTAAACTGTACACAAGGGACATGATTGGTCTGTGACCTTTGAAGAATTTACTGAGTACAGTTTGAAACAAAGTGTCTAGTGTTCAGAATAGGATTAATATCTGTTGAGTTACTCTGAGTTTTCTCTTATCTGTGCTGGAATAGTTACATCTCAAGTCTGACTTTTACTATTTGATGTAGAGGATCTTCTTTGGAAGTCACTTTTCTGAATAAGGTTGGAAGAAATTTTAACTTTCACTGTTGTAGAATTGGTAACATTTAATTTTTGCAATCACAAAACTTTACTATAAATCTATATATCTGATTTACGGAAAAGATGGGAGGAAACAGATTTATCTTGCCAACTAAGCACCTGACTTGAGTCGGTCAGAAACGTTTAGACATACCAAAAGTTTAAATATCAATGATCTGTATACAACTAAAATGTCCTCTAAGTTATTAGGCAAGGTGGGTGAGGTAATATCTCTTAAGGTTTGTCCACACTGCAATTAAAAACCCACGGCTGGTCTGTGCCAGCTGACACAGGCTCAGGCAAAGGGGCTGTTGAATTGTGGTGTAGATGTCCGGGCTTAGGCTGGAGCCTGGGCTCTGAGACCCTCCCGCCTTGCAGGGTCCTAGAGCCCGTGCTCCAGCCCAAGCCTGGACATCTACACCGCAATTAAATAGCCCAAGCCCTGCGAGCCCGAGTCAGCTGGCATGGGCCAGCTGTGGGTTTTTAATGCAGTGTAGTCATATCCTTATTGGACAACTTCTGTTGGTGATTAGCAGGGAGATGTTCAGCAGCAAGCTCTTTGGGGCAGGGACCAAGTCTCCATATACGTTTGTGCCTAGCACTATGGAACTCCGTTCCTGACTGGAACCTGAGTGCTGCTGCAGTGTAAATATGAATATTTTCTTAAATAGTGAAGCAAGGACAATGTGAAGGTAAGATGTATAACTGGCAACACTGCAACCAATTCCCTCTTCGTTAGGGAATTGTAGTACCTTAAGACTATCAACATTTCTCTGAGTTCTTTAAGCACCTTCTGACTTGAAGTGATCTTGTAGTATTTAGTTTTAGTGAAGAGAGGTGGCCTGACATTTCCCTAAATGAACATCTAAAGAATGGCCTTGCCAATCCAAAAGTTACAGAATTTGATTGCAGTGGCATTATTTTAGCGACACTGCTGAAACTTTTGGTCTTATTTAAGATCTAGTAAAAGGTGGTAGTATAGATTAGCATGGAATGTGCTTGCAGCGAATACTTGACATGGTACTTTTTTTTTTCTCTGTCTGACAGTCAGGATTTCCTAATGGAACCGCTTTAAACCAGTAGCTATTGTTGTGTTCTTAGTGCTGTGCAGTTAGTTATATGCCGTTATACTTCTATCATAAAATGATACCTGTTATATAGGGTAATTTTTCACAATGTAATCTCCTGCAACATAGTGTATAAAATGGATGGTTTTAAAAAAAGCTTTCTTTGAAAGATGGAGGGTGCAAAGGTAGGGATTGGTTTTGCAGTCTCTGTTTGAAGCCACTAGAGCATGTCTAGATGAAAAAAATGATAGCATTTTAAAATAAAGTTAAACATAACTTTAAATGTGACTTTGCACCTAGTTAGACAAGGCAAATTGTGTTAAAAAATGTTAGCTGGTCATGGTCACCCCTTGGCTCATCAGAATGGGGGGAGGGATAGCTCAGTGGTTTGAGCATTGGCCTGCTAAACTCAGGTTGTGAGTTCAATCTTTGAGGGGCCCACTTAGAGATGTGGGGCAAAATCAGTATTTGGTCCTGCTAGTGAAGGCAGGGGGCTGGACTCGATGACTTTTCGGGGTCCCTTCCAGTTCTATGAGATAGGTATATCTCCATATATTTATATTTTTTAATGCTGTAGTGTGTTTTAAATCTATCCCTGTCTGAGACCGGAAAACTCACTAAGTTACACTGAGGTTTATACTCAAAATAGGTTTTTTCTAAAATACACCTCTACCCCGATATAATGCTGTCCTCGGGAGCCAAAATATCTTACTGCGTTATAGGTGAAAGCGCGTTATATCGAACTTGCTTTGATCCGCCGGAGTGCGCAGCTCTCTCCCCCCCCTCCCCCGAGCACTGCTTTACCGTGTTATATCGGGGTAGAGGTGTATGTTTGCTAGTACATTAGTTAAAACATATTTAACACATTTTGCGACAGTCTTCTAGATTATGAAAACAATCTTAGCCTTAGGATATGTCTGTATTTCCTTTCTTAGCTGAAACACACAGTTCCTTTCTAATCATTTGTTATTACATAAAGATATGGAGCTTGGAAAGATTGGGTCTAAACTCTTTGCAAGAAGTGTGTTAAGACTAAACACCTCCATGTGATTCGAGGAATTTTCCTGCCTCAGAATGGGATAGATTTAATGGATACTAAAACATGCTGAAGCGTTAGCAATTTATTGCTCTTGTGCAAGCGGCTCTGGCATTGCTTGATGCCTGATTTTGTAGTTTCACACAATGCTGCTGTGCTGCTTGTTGATGGATGTGGCTCTGTCGGAAACTTTCCAAAACAGTTAGATGGAATTGCAGTGATTATTGGAATGCTTCTTAGACCTGAATGAGTTTGTCACCTAGGATAGATCTCTGAATTTCTCTTATCCTATTGTCATACTTTTTATCCTGACAAAAGTTTCAATGGAGGTTTTGAAGTCAATGTGTAGCTTCATAAATACAGAAGACTTACTTTTTTTGCTAAGATTTTTGTGAAAACAGGACGTGTCTCTAGGTGCTTGTTCAATTTCATTGCTTAGTGACTTGTGATCATACTTCTCTGACACTGAATTGGATTTGTTTGGAAATTGTCACAGAACAGATGTTTGGCTTTAGTTGAGAAATAAGCAGTAAAAACAGGTGAATCTTGATTTTGCTTCCTGCAAATGTCCCTAGCAGAAAAAGATGAGAAATATAATAAAATGTTACTGTAAGATTGTCTTTAATAGAATGTTTTACAACATAGTCTATAGAGCTTCAAGGAATCTTTAACCTTCCTGTAAAACTGTAAATCTCTAACTTAATATACAAATACTAAGTAATGCTACTTTTTTTTTTTTTTTTTTGCAGCTTCCCATAAAAGCCGGCCAGCAGAATACCCACACCAAAGTCAGCACAGAACATAACAAGGAATGTCTCATCAACATTTCCAAGTACAAGTTTTCCCTGGTCATAAGTGGTCTCACTAATATCTTAAAAAATGTTAACAATATGGTAAGTTTTCTAGGTTTGGTTTATTGGATGCTTTTGAAAATGGTTATACCTTTTTATTTACAGAAACTTTGTAGAATGTCTAGTCTGACATTGACTCAAATTGCTGTTTCGTTTTGTGCATTTAATAGGGTACCAGTTAACTTACAGATTTTTTTTTTTAACTTCTAATGCAGTAAAGTTTACCAACAAAATTGAAATGAGCATCCACATTGCATGTGAGGATGATGGGGGAATGTGGGCAACAAGGTCTAAAAGGAAGAACGTTAGTAATGCTGCATCGGATGACCCAGAAGGTGTCAGTCACAGAGGGAATGGACAGGGTGGAAAAGTGCATATGGCTAGGCTAGGGGTACACCCAACACATGCCCTCTTAGACCTGGGTTTGTAAGCAATCCTTGGATGTCTGCTCTCCAAACCAAGTGGAATATGTTTTGTAAGTGGTGCACTTGATCACTGGGAAATGGGTTCTCTCTGTACAGTTGCATAAGCATGTCATTTAACTAATGAAGCAATATTTTGCAGCCTTGGAGGAGACCGAAGAGGGCATTTGGTCAGAGGTATCCAGTGAACAGCATCCAGAGCAATGGGAGCTGTTCTAATCCTTTCTGCTAGAATGTGTCCTGCCAGGAAGAGGAATATTGGAAGAGGGAAAAACGAACAAGCATTTAAAACAAACCTAGGGCATTAGATTCTTTTCAGGATCTGTTCAGACACTATGCATAAGTGCATGGTGCAGTCATTTGCAAGTTGCCATCTCATAAATTACATTTAAAAACAAAAAGAACAATCCAGGAGCCATACAAGATTATCAGCCGAGAACCATGAAGGAAAAGGCTTGAAAAAGACTCTTTGGCCTAGTGGTAGTCTTACAGAGTTAATCTCCTGAGCACATCCCTTAGAGGCTTGTAAGGGATGCTTAGCTTGAGTGGAGTGTTTCCTTGATATTTTCCCCCTCTGACACTTGATGTAGCTTGCAGTGTTTCTTGGGTGGATCAAGGACCTCCTTAACACTGAGTTCTTGCGGGCAGCAGGTTAAAGTCAAGGGACAGAAAAAGGTTCAAGAAGACCTTCCCACCAAACTTCAAAAAGACCCTTTCAAACTCAAATTTGTAACATTAAATGAACAGTCTCCCTCTATACTGTTTGTTTGTGAAATGCAGCAAGGCAGAGCATAGAATCACTTTCAAAAATATACTAAAACATTATTGAAACTTCACCCTCATTAAATTAACATTGACAACTAATTTGATAGAGTGCAGTAGACAAAGGGGGATGGGGAGGAACAAAGGAAAACTATTAAATATGGATCCTAAGTGTTCATTCTAGGACAAATAAAAATTACCAATGGGGCAGGCAAGATGAGAAATTGTAGTTACTTTGAAAAAGTGGAGGGAGAAGAAATGAAGCAAATTTCATAGGCAATCAACTTCCAAACCATCAGATCCATCATGACAGCACTCAGGGTGGGCTCCCTAAAGGGCCAATAGTATGTGAACATGTCCTCACCAGAACAAGAGAATGAGTAGCTTATACTTACACTAATGGACATAAAAATTAATAGTGCCAACTCAAAAGTAAATCAGCCACACTATAGATATCAGTTGTAAGGAGTCCTGATAAATAAGAGTGTAAAGCTATACAATTCGAAACAAAAATTCTGTATTGTATCTGATGTGTGTAGCTGAGGCCTGGCCTGACATGAGCAATTAAAACCTGGAAGGAGGCTTCATTTCTTGGAAGATAAAATTAGGGAGGTAAAGAGATCATTAGGTTGAAAAAGACAGAATGTCTGAGCCATCTAAAATGAGAGGGAGAACACCCAGGGAACCATTTACTAACAGTGGACAAAGATGAACCTGGAATATGAAAGTTCAGGTTCTACATGAACAGCACATGGCGAGAAGATGCTGCACGGGATTGGTTCCTGCAAAGTAACCAAACCAATCCAAAAACGTGTGATGCAATGTATAGTAAATGCAGTGTAATTTGTACATGTATATAAAGTGTGTAACTTTGGATGTGTGGCATGCCCTATACCCACCCCATTCACTTGAGTCTTATCAACTCAGCATAGCTTTGCTGTATGCCAAATAAAGGGACCCGAGTAGTGAAATCTGGAGTTTGAGTGTTTTGGATCCCAGAGAACTGGACAAGGTGTTCTGGATAAGCCATGTGGGAAAGGTCTCTGAGGGAATACCAGCCATGTACCACTTTTAGTACCACTTTTCATGGAAAATGGCCCAAAAATTATTAGTCTGACTTGGTACTTCCAAGTGAATCCCTCCATAAAGTGCAAAAATAGAAGAATGAGTCTTTTCATATCAATGTTCTATACTCAATAGCAAGACTTAACTTTTCCTATGGTTGAGGAAGAGAGAACTGGATGAGATGCTCCAACCAGCTAGCAATATTTTTCAAGCACTCCTTCAGTATGGAGACCAGACTGTGTGTCATTAGTCTACTCCATGTTTAGAAAAGATAGCTTCAAGAGGCCTCCTGCTCAGCTAAAGCCTACAGATATTTGAACTAATCTTTCAAGCAGTTTTAATTATCGCATCATTTTTAGAAGCTTCTTACTGTGTGTTCTATCTACAGTCAATGGAACTAAATACATTTTTTGGCTAACCCTTCTCTGCTTTGTTTTGCTGTTCCAATCTGAATATTGATACACTTAGTCATTGGCGCTGGTAGTGAAATTAGATGCTAGTTTAAATATGTGATAGACTCTTGCATCCTAGATTTAAAATGTGGCATCCGCTTTGAAGATCCAGTAGTGTATTTGTGTTTCTTCCTGTGGTCTATGCTAAATTCTATAGCAGTCAAACTAAGTTTGTATCCATGGATTTGTGGAAACCTCAGTTCTGTTAAGTATTGTCTTGGCAATAAAATACAGCTCTAAAGAAATCAGATACGTTAGACAAACAGTAATAGCTACTAAAATAGAATTTTGGGGTCATGAAAGTAAAGGACTTGCTAGGCTCTCTAGTTGTTCTACTAGTGCACCTCCAATACTAATTGGCCTGCCTGTCCTGTCCCTTGTTATCTTTGTTCAATTTATGTCATTCACTCCAAAACAGTTTGTTTACTTCATGCTAGGAACTAAGAAGGAACTATTAATCTCATTTTCACTGGCCCTATTTCTAAATTTGAACCCAGAGCTCCAAAGGTGGAAAGGCTAGAGCATTGGGGGGAGGGATAGTTCAGTGGTTTGAGCATTGGCCTGCTAAACCCAGGCTTGTGAGTTCAATCCTTGAGGGTGCCATTTAGGGATCTGGGGCAAAAATCTGTCTGGGGATGGGTCCTGCTTTGAGCAGGGGGTTGGACTAGATAACCTCCTGAGGTCCCTTCCAACCCTGATATTCTATGATTAACCTACTGTGCTGCTTAATCCCCAGCAGATTTTCTGTATCACCTAAATGCTGCAATGGGCTACCAGTCAGATTTTTGCACTGGAGCTAAATCTGTACCTTTTCTTGTAGAGGATATTTGGAGAAGCTGCTGAAAAGAATTTATATCTCTCTCAGCTGATTATATTGGATACACTGGAAAAATGTCTTGCTGGGGTAAGTAGTCTAATTTATAATTGCTGAGTTTCTGAATCAGATGTAGACACAGTGAACAGAAGTTCTATAAACGTGTGTGTATAGTAGGTAGTAGTAAACTAACAATCATTTGATTTACGTCACATAGAATTAATGCTAATTTTAGAAAAACTCCTATGAAATAGTTAATGTAACTGATAAAATAACAATGTGTAGAATGGTTTCAGAGTGGTAGCCGTGTTGGTCTATATCAGCAAAAAGAACAAGGAGTACTTGTGGCACCTTGGAGACTAACAAATTTATTTGGGCGTAAGCTTTCGTGGGCTAAAACCCACTTCATTGGATGCATGCAGTGGAAAAAAACATAGGAAGATAGATAGAGAGATAGATATATATAGATATATATATATACACACACACACACACACACACACACGGAGAACATGAAAAAATGGGTGTTGCCATACCAACTCTAACGAGACTAATCAATTAAGGTGGGCTATAAGCAGCAGGAGAAAAAAAAACTTTTTTAGTCTCTAAGGTGCCACAAGTACTCCTAGTTCTTTTTAATGTGTAGAATGTCCATCCTCCCTCCCCACCCCCAATTAACAATGATCAAAAATGCCTCGACTTGTTAACTAAATGGACAAAGGAAGGTTTCAGATCTAACCTTTCCTCCACTTCACTTCCAAACTTCTAATATTATATGTTTCTCTACAACAATTCATATAAAAAGAATAAACCATTGTGTGCATGGAAAACAAATTTAAGTAAAGTAATGGGGTTCAGTGTTAAGCTTCCATTGCATTTGTATAAACTGTAGGTGGATGGGGAGATTCTAAGTAGGGTTACAAACAAAATTATAAAAATGGTTTCGTTTCACAATTTAATACAAAATTAAAGGATAATTTTACAATCATTTTAAAAGTGGCAAATAGTAAAAATTAAAATATATTAAAATTAATGAAGTTTGTGGAAGTCATAGTTAGTGTTTCTTAAATGAAGTAGAAATTTCTTGTTGATGTAGTTCTGTTTCTATTTTCTATAATTATATACCCAGACAGAATCTTTTGCTATTGCCATATTAAGATTACTTTTGCAGGTATTTCCTAGTTTACGTTATTTAACCTTATCCAAACTTCCAGTGGGAGTCCAATCCTGAAGTTTCCACACAAACTTTCCTATTTCATTCAAATCTTTGCTGAGAGGCAGTTTGCTTTTACCTTTGGGATGAAAACAGTTGAAGTTTGGCTTTGCAATTATACATCTTAGGTAAAAACTGAGTCTCAGGTTTATTCCTAGAGATTTCTTTTAGCTTTGTTCCAGGAAGAACGTAATGAAATCATCAAAGCTGTGTGCAATTCCTTAGTACTGGTTGTAAAAGATATTTCTCTACAGAGTAATAAATACAATAGAGTTTGGTTTATCAAGGTGGAACATCTTTTAATATAGTAAAGATGCTGATGATGTAAGTAATGGTGCTGTTTTAAATAAGTAAGAAAATAATGTAGGTATCTACATAATGCAGAATAGATTTCAACTTTAAAAAAAAAAAGTAAATTATACCATATTTTTCTTTCCTGTGTTTAATGTAGTAACTTAGACTTGTCTAATTTCATAAATCCATATCTTCCTTTTTTAAAAGCCACAATTTATATTGATCAAAAACCTCAGTGTGTTTCAGATACATGATGAAACCTCTAACTGCTTAAAATTGTATGTCTTGTCAATTTAGATGAAAGCAAGTTGAGCCAGTATGTTTAGTAAGACTTGAGCCAAAGCTGTATACAAAGAGAGTTGTGTTCTGTGATATGGTCAGACATATTTCTTGCTTACTATTGCTTCTTAATGTTTCACCAAGTTCTCATGGCAACAAGACTCAGGTCAGCTAAGTGGGATCACTGCAACTTCTGAATTCCCCAGAGTAATTTCATTGGCAGGATTTTAAAAGTTTAAATGCTGACCTGACCCTCTGTTAAGATTCTTAGTAAAGTTGCTCTTCAAATTCTTTCTTAAATAGTTTCCTTATGTCTCATACTGTGCAAATTGGAAAAAGTAGAATTCTACAGGAAACTGTAGGGTTTTTTGTTCTTGTCTGGAATCACACTGACTCAATAAAGAAGCACCCTCTCTTTCATCATGTCTTTTAAATCTCTTACTGGAGGAAAAACTACGGTCAGAAAACCATTTGAGAGAATTAAGAGTCGGAGTTTACCTAAGGTTCTTCTAAGGCAAACAACTGACTCAAATGCTCTAACACCAGTGCTTTGACAGGTTGGCAGGGTGTGTCCCTTAAGTATTCAAACCGTTTGCTTGAAAAAAGTATTTTGATAGCCCATTCAATACTTGATGATGATGAGCTACTAACATTGTCCCACAGGTCAGGGATGGAAACACATTCGAAAATGTAAAATATTACTTTATGTGAAATTATAGGAAATTACTGTTAGCATGGGGTGTGTCAGAGCTTTTCCACTTAATTTGCATTGAAGTCAATGGGAGTTTCTACTGTGTAGAGAGTAAGTAGTACAAGATCTGTTCCTGGGATAGTAGTAACTAGAAATACAGTTTTTGCCTATAAAGCTGTGAAAGGGAATTTCAGGAAATAAGTGAAATGTTTACATTTTAGCAACCAAAGGACACGATGCGACTAGATGAGACGATGCTGGTCAAACAGTTGCTGCCAGAAATCTGCCATTTTATCCATACGTACCGTGAAGGAAACCAACATGCAGCCGAACTTCGCAATTCTGCCTCTGGAGTTCTCTTCTCTCTCAGTTGCAATAATTTTAATGCAGTCTTCAGCCGCATTTCCACCAGGTGAGTGCATGAATGGCAGCGCTTATCCAGTGTATTAGAAGGCTTATCAAACACCGTGAATGTTGTCTGGCTCTAATCAGTGTAGATTAAAACAAAGGCTAAAATTCACGACAGACCTTTCTGATCTGAAAAATATTAACTTGAAAATGCTGATGGGGAGTTTGTATCATATAATAAGCTGCTTACACCTGTACCCCGATATAACGCTGTCCTCAGGAGCCAAAAAATCTTACCGTGTTATAGGTGAAACCGTGTTATATCGAACTTGCTTTGATCCACCGGAGTGCGCAGCCCCGCCCCCCCGGAGCACTGCTTTACCGCGTTATATCCGAATTCGTGTTATATTGGGTCGCGTTATATAGGGGTAGAGGTGTATTTGAAATCTTTTCTGATGAAAATCCCTCTACATTTCAAAACTCTGCTTAAGCATCAGTTGATAAAATTAGTCTGATTCTGTCTCCATTCTGTGTTTTTGTACAGCTTATTTTCTGGGTGCTAGACTTACTTATTTTTTAGACCTGCTTTTATATGAAAAAAATCTGCCATAGAACGGAACTAATGATAAAAACCAAGTTGAAATGTAGGGTGGGTGCTTGCTAATGAGAGATTTCTAAAAATTGACAGAGACGCTTAACTTATATCCATTAATGTGTTTGCTGTTCCATGGTAACTTCTAGTTCTCTGCAGCTCTGTTGGAGCCTTAAGGATGTTGTCCTCCCCTAATTTTCCCTACTTGAAGGTCCATATATATCCATCTTTTTGACTGAGGAGAATGGGGCATGATTGCCTTGACCCTAAGAATATTACTTTTTATTGGATTTAGAAGGAGCCTGCTTGTCCTCTCACATGATTTTTATATCCGTGTAACCCCACTGATTATAATGAAATTCCTCCTGATTTACACCACTCTAAATGAGAGGTGAGTCAGGGCCAAGGTATGCTATCCCTTCTTTACTTCCCGCATTGCAGTCATCTCTTTGGTGCTGTCTTTGGCCAGCCCACCAAGGTTGCATGGAAGCTTTTATTAAGGAAATGCTTTTATGTCCTTTGAAAGTTGCTTGAAAAGGTTTAACTCTTATCAGAGTAGTGTGGTTATAACCAACAGTAGTACTTGAGTGGATCATTTGTTGGAGTTGGATCCAATGCTCCTTTATTAGGGTTGGGCAGCAATGAGTATGCTAGTTTGAATTGTTTTTAGTACCACAGTCTAAAACTAGGGCTTGTGTAACTTATACAATTAAAAGAGCTTTGAGAACACTAGAATGGAAGTGCATTCAAATTTTAAATATGAAACTTGGTAAACATCTAATTAGCTGAAATCTCAACTATTTTTTAAACTTTAAAGGGCTTTAATAATCTCTCAAGGACCTAGACTTAGTAGCCAGGATGGAGGATATGGTTTTTGCTAAATAAATTGATTAGGTTTAGTTGCTTATAGGGTAGGAAATAATTCCATGCCCTTCTGTTATAGGGAGTTACACTAGAACTTATTCTTGTAGATAGTTCTTTAATGTGTATTTGTTTATACATCTGCAGTATAGTTTTTCAGTATAAGTCTTTTTTACTCAAACTTAATTTTGAAATTCTAGGCTGTTTCAAGGCTGGAGTTGATTTTTGTTTCCACACAATTCTATTTTTCATTGGTATAGAAGTGGTTAAACATTTGGCTGTTTGTTGCTAATATCCACAGAGGTCAGCCTGCCGACAGTTAGCATTGCTGATCTTTTGACCCATGCTTCCTGTTTAGGCATATTTCTAGGCTCTGTACAGCAGCTGGGGGATTTTGGGCATGTAAAGCACAGCATCAGGGACCTTCCCGTTCTCAGCGTGGTCTGTTAAGTTTTCCCTCCATTGATGAAATGAAGAGCTGCTTTTGTGTGTAGTGGTAGAAATTGCATATCATGTCAAGTACACATCTGTAGCTTTGGAAGGGGTCAACACAATCTTATAACTTGCAGGCGCATATGATTTAGTTATTAGTGGCTTGTGATCTGATATGGTGTTTAGTAAGTTACCCTCGAAAAAGGAGGGAAAAGATTTAGCACAGTGCTTAAACTGATGTGATTAAAACTAATTGAGTTTCATTAGGGACAAAAAAAAGGGCTCCCCTTTGCCTGAGGGCTGACTGCAGTTCCCTTCAGAGACTGTGAATACTCCTGATTGTTGCCCTGATGGTATAGCTCAAGTGCAAAGCAAGGCACTCATTCCCAGGGGCATGGCCCAAAGGCATCACCAGCATGAGCCGGAGAGGTCAGTGCTCAGGTGAAATGAAATATAGATTACTTCCACAGCATTGTAAAGAAAAAGAGGATATAGGGTAAAATCTTGGTGTTAACATAAATATAAACTGATGGCATTTGTAGCTTACATCTTGAAATGTTGAGAAATTTTCTTCTGGAACTTTTCTATATGAAGTTAAAATGAAAATATTCTGTAAAATTAACTCTTAATGGTCATCCAAAGTTAGTTTTTAATTCCTGGATCTGTCAAAGTTCTAACTGTAAGTCTCTGGAGGGGATGATGTTGATCCTTTAATATTAAAATGTTTACTACTAATTTTCATTTCACCTGTATAATAGGAGGTGTTTTTCATAAGTATGAACATGTCAGCAATGGCTGACAGTCTCTGTTTCGAGAAGTTAATTTAATTTACTGTTTTGAGTTAATACTTTACTTTGCATCTCTTTAGATTACAGGAACTGACTGTGTGTTCGGAAGATAATGCTGATGTTCATGATATTGAACTTTTACAGTATATTAGTGTGGACTGCATAAAACTGAAACGAATATTGCAAGGTAGGCTGTGAAATTGTGTGTCTTTGGGCTGATCATCAGACTGGTTTTGTGCTGCTATAGCTATCTGTTTAGAAATCCGTAGTTAGTGGTATTACCCTCTAGCATAGACAGTTACACTGGTATAACATATTCCTGTATATTAATTTAGAAACAGTATAATTTTACTTAATTCAAATGATAATTAGCATCTGATTTTAAAATAACTGGTGCTTAAACCCCTGAGCTGTCTTATTGGGTTGAATTATTATATACCTATTTTGTTAGAAATGAATTTCTCTTTCAAATGTTGAAATTTTTTATTTTTACAGAGACAGTATTTAAGTTTAAAGCCCTAAAGAAAGTAGCTCAACTGGCAGTTATAAACAGTCTTGAAAAGGCAAGTATGTTATCATTGATATATTCTAAGCGGAATTTTTTTGCTGTTCCTCAGTCACTGATTTGCAGTCTCATGCCCCTGATTGAATTTAGGAATGGGAAAACACTAGTCTCATTTGGACAAGTCACTTTTCACTGTAAACACACATGTATGAGAGTTCTGTTGTAAAAGCACTGCATGCGGAGAGACTGAAGGACAAAATAAAGTCATCTCTTCCACTGGAAGTTTATTTCCTAAACTGAGTTTATTTTCTAAACTGATTGTTGCATATGTGTAAAGACGTGTTGAATTATCTGTAGGCATTTTGGAACTGGGTGGAAAACTATCCTGATGAATTCACAAAGCTGTACCAGACACCACAGACTGATATGGCGGGTAAGACATGACATAAATCATTTTGATGTGTATCTCTTAAAATATGGATTTATCAGGCTAAGTCCATTGGTTCTTTTTCACAAAGCTTTATGTCAGAGATCTCCAACTTCACTGACATTTTGTACACTCCTTGCTTCTCAGGCAGCTCGCATAAAAGAAGCATCGTTCTGCCATCCTTTGCCAGAGCAGCTTGGGATACACTCTTTATCTCTCTTCACTCAACAAATGGAAATGGGGAGGAAGGGAGTAATGGTGGGAATTGGATTGCTTTTATAGAGCTCTATTTTGATACACATAACAAGTAAACAAAACGCACAAACATAAACTATCTTACATACAAATAAAAGAAAATTTACAAATACACATTTTAGCCCCTGATTCAGGAAAGCATTCCTGTTCAGGAAGGGCACATAAGCATATGCTTAGAGATCTGCAAATCTGTAGCTATCTGCTTTATATCTGCGGCCCATGTTTGCAGATCACGGATGAATGCAGATCCAAATTTTATATCTAGAGTCCTGCAAATCTGTGTATATCCGCGGACTGGATGCGAATACAAATTTTGTATTGACACAAGGCTCTACATATACTTTAGTCTTTCTGACTAGAGAAGGACTTAAGCACATTTTTAAGTTATTTTCTGAATCATTGTTTTAACCCTGTTTATAGCCCAGTTCAGCGACAATGGCATGCCTAAGCATGGTTGTAAAACACATTTTATTTTTGTAGATGGAGCCATATTTTGCCTCTTATGTTCTGTTCCCCCTTTATCTTCCTTGTCAAAAGTGGTGCCAAACTTCTTTTGCTTGCCGGTACTCAAAACGCATCCTTCCAGTTTCCATTTGTGTCATAGCAGGACCTGTATCTGAACTCTGAAAATAGGCTGAAATGTCTGTTACTTGTACATGCATATTTTAGTGTCATCTGCAAACCAGAATTCTGGAAGGTTTTTCACAGTTTAAACCTTCAGCTACTATTTAGTGAGTTGGTTAGCTGGAAAAAGAATGAATGTCATTGATTTTAAAAAATATGGAAAATAGTTAAAGCAAATTTTGTTATTTGTACACGTCAATTACAGTATTTCATAGAATAGTATTTTTGATCAACATTTTTTCCCCTTTAGATGTTTTAAATCCCCCTTTTTATTTCCTATTTCTTTCTGCAGACAATAATACCTAGCTCTGACATAAGTCTTCATCCACAGATCATATGTATTTCTAGAATGCTCTGTAGTAGTCAGTTCTAGTGAATTAATTATGTTTGTGGCTGTCTTGCTCATACACCTTTACCCCGATATAACGCGACCCGATATAACATGAATTCGTATATAACGTGGTAAAGCAGCGCTCTGGGGGGGGGGGAGGGGCTGCGCACTCCTGTGGATCAAAGCAAGTTCGATATAACGCAGTTTCACCTATAACGCAGTAAGATTTTTTTTGGCTCTCGAGGACAGCGTTATATTGAGCTAGAGGTGTAGTTCTTCTGTTCTTTATTGAACCAGTGCTTTTTCTTTTGAGTAATGCTCTTTGCAAACTAGGATTATGAGCTAAACATAACAGGATATTTAAACACTTTTCCCCTCAGTGTTTCTTCCGTAGTCATTTGGTTGTTTTATAATGTAGATTGTGCAGAGAAGTTGTTTGACTTGGTGGATGGGTTTGCCGAAAGCACGAAACGTAAAGCAGCAGTTTGGCCACTGCAAATCATTCTTCTTGTCCTGTGTCCAGAAATCATTCAAGATATAGCCAAGGATGTGGTGGAGGAAACCAAAATAAACAAGGTGAAGAAAGCTAAAATGTCATAGTGAATACAAGTCTGAATTCAATAGGGTGTTTGTCTTGGCATGTCCCATATTGTTTTAAAACTCTATACTCTCTGATATAAGCCTACTCTGCCTCTATTTAAAAAAAAAAAAACACATTTAAACCCCCCTATTAAATCCCTGTTTTTTCTATTATTCAGGCTTCTCGGAGCTCTCACCTAGCCCTTTACTTTCCCTACCAGCAGAGCTTTGTATAATGGCATATATCCTGCTTGATGAGGGTTGTATAGCTACTCCTGACAATTCAATTCCTTTAGCTAAAAAAAGGTTTGTGCAACACTGTGAGTCATTCACTCCTGTTGGTGGTGAACAAATTGCCACCTCAGCACTTACAGCCCCTGCTGGGCTTGAGAGTAAAGAACTGTCCTAGAGTTTTGAATCTTGCTATTCCTCCCCAAGTCCCTTACTCAAGTTTTACATTACTGCTAATCTGAACTGAACTTTGTGCGTGGTGGGTTTTTTGTTTTTGTTTTTTTTGCAATGTGTGGAAATAAGAACATAAGAACGGTCATACTGGGTCAGACCAAAGGTCCATCTAGCCCAGTATCCTGTCTTCCAACAGTGGCCAATGCCAGGTGCCCCAGAGGGAATGAACAGAACAGGTAATCAAGAAGTGATCCATCCTCTGTCGCTCATTTCCAGCTTCTGGCAAACAGAGGCCAGGGACACCATTCCTGCCCATCCTGGCTAATAGTCATTGATAGACCTATCCTCCATGAATATATTTAGTTCTTTTTTGAACCTTGTTATAGTCTTGGCCTTCACAACCTCCTCTAGCAAGGCGTTCCACAGGTTGACTGTGCGCTGTGTGACAAAAATACTTCCTTTTGTTTGTTTTAAACCTGCTGCCTTTTAATTTCATTTGGTGACCCCTCTAGTTCTTATGTTATGAGAAGGAGTAAATAACACTTCCTTATTTACTTTTTCCACACCAGTCATGATTTTATAGACCTCAATCATATCCCCCCTTAGTCGTCTCTTTTCCAAGCTGAAAAGTCCCAGTCTTATTAATCTTTCCTCACATACCCCTAATCATTTTTGTTGCTCTTTTCTGAACCTTTTCCAATTTCAAAATATCTTTTTTGAGATGGGGTGACCACATCTGCACGCAGTATTCAAGATTCGGACGTACCATGGATTTATATAGAGGCAATATATTTTCTGTCTTATTATCTATCCCTTTCTTAATGATTCCAAACATTCTGTTCGCTTTTTTGACTGCCGCTGCACATGGAGCGGATGTTTTGAGAGAACTATCCGCAATGACTCCAAGATCTTTCTTAAATGGTAACAGCTAATTTAGACCCCATCATTTTATATGTATAGTTGGGATTATGTTTTCCAATATGCATTACTTTACATTTATCGACATTGAATTTCATCTGCCATTTTGTTGCCTAGTCACCCAGTTTTGAGAGATCCTTTTGTAGCTCTTCTCAGTCTGCTTGGGACTTAACTATCTTAAGTAGTTTTGTATCATCTGCAAATTTTGCCACCTCACTGTTTACCCCTTTTTCCAGATCATTTATGAATATGTTGAATAGGACTGGGCCCAGTATAGACCTCTGGGGGACACCACTATTTACCTCTCTCCATTCTGAAACCTACCATTTATTCCTACCCTTTGTTTCCTCTCTTTTAACCAGTTTCCAATCCATGAGAGGACCTTCCCTCTTATCCCATGACTGCTTACTTTGCTTAAGAGACATCGGTGAGGGACCTTGTTAAAGGCTTTCTGAAAATCTAAATATGTGATATCCAGTGGATCCCCCTTGTCCACATGCTTGTTGACCCCTCAAAGGATTCTAGTAGATTCGTGAGACATGATTTCCCTTTACAAAAACCATGTTGACTCTCCCCCAACAAATTACGTTAATCTATGTGTCTGTCAATTTTGTTCTTTACTATAGTTTCAACCAGTTTGCCCGGTACTGAAGTGAGGTTTACCGGCCTGTAATTTCCAGGGTCACCTCTGGAGCACTTTTTAAAAATTGGTGTCACATTAGCTATCCAGTCATTTGTTACAAAAGCTGATTTAAATGATAGGTTACAGACTACAGTTAGTAGTCCTGCAGTTTCACATTTGAGTTCCTTCAGAACACTTGGGTGAATACCATCTGGTCCTGGTGACTTATTACTGATTATTTTATTAATTTGTTCCAAAACCTCCTCTAATGACACCTCAATCTGGGACAATTCCTCAGATTTGTCACCTAAAAAGAATGGCTCAGGTTTGGGAATCTCCCTCACATCCTCAACCGTGAAGACCGATGCAAAGAATTCATTTAGTTTCTCTGTAATGGCCTTATCGTTCTTGAGTGCTCCTTTAACATCTCGATCGTCTGGTGGCCCCACTGGTTGTTTAGCAGGCTTCCTGCTTCTGATGTACTTAAAAAAATTTTTGCTTCTACTTTTTGAGTCTTTGGCTAGCTCTTCTTCAGATTCTTTTTTTGGCCTTCCTATTATATTTTTACACTTCATTTGCCAGAGTTTATGCTTCTTTCTATTTTCCTCACTAGGATTTAACCTCCACTTTTTAAAGGATGCCTTTTTGCCTCTCACTGCTTCTCTTACTTTGTTGTTTAGCCATGGTGGCTCTTTTTTGGTTCTCTTACTGTGTTTTTTAATTTGGGTTATACATTTACGGTGAGCCTCTTATTATGGTGTCTTTAAAAAGTTTCCATGCAGCTTGCAGGGATTTTTCTTTTGGTGCTCCTACCTTTTTAATTTCTGTTTAACTAACCTCCTCATTTTTGTGTAGTTCCCCTTTCTGAGATTAAATGCTACAGTGTTGGGCCGCAGTGGTGTTTTCCCCACAACACAGGGATGTTAAAGGTAATTATATTATGGTCACTATTACCAAGTGGTCCAGCTGTATGCACCTCTTGGACCTGATCCTGTGCTCCACTTAGGACTAAATCAAGAATTGCCTCTCCTCCTGTGGGTTCCAGGATTAGCTGCTCCAAGAAGCAGTCATTGAAGGTGTCAAGAAACTTTACGTCTGCATCCTGTCCTTAGGTGATATGTTACCCAGTCAATATAGAGATAGTTGAAATCCTCCCCCTTATTATTGAGTTTTTAATTTTAATAGCCTCTCTAATCTCCCTGAGCATTTCACAGTCACTATTGCCATCCTTATCAGGTGATTGGTATTATATCCCTATGCTATATGCTTATTATTCGAGCATGGAATTACTAGCCAGAGAGGTTCTGTGGTACAGTTTGGTTCATTTAAGATTTTACTTCATTGGATTCTACACTTTCGTTCACATATAGTGCCACTCCCCTACCAGCACAACCTGTTCTGTCCTTCCGATATATTTTGTACCCGAAAAGCGTGGTTTGCAAATGAAGATCTGTAACACAGATAGAATTTGACTTGGCTACAATTAAAAATAAGCAATCCTTGGAGCATCCAAGTTGGCCGTTGCCAGGCTGATTATATCATGGTATCTTCACACACATGTGAATGGTCCAAAGTGAGTGTGTAATGAATGAAGTATACTTTTCTAAACCGATACACCAGTATTTCCATTTGTTTGGTGGTATTTAAAGATGTAAAAGCTCTGTCCACAGCTCCTAAAACATCGGCGATAACTATTTCTGTCTTTTCTTTTTTGGTTGTTATATTTGAATTCTGCAGAAACTGTTTCTGGACAACCTCAGGAAAGCACTCGCAAGCCATAGTGGGAGCAGACAGCTGACTGAAAGTGCTGCTATTGCTTGTGTTAAACTCTGCAAAGCATCCACCTACATCAACTGGGAAGATAATTCTGTCATTTTCCTTCTGGTGCAGTCCATGGTTGATGATCTTAAGGTAAAGAGGAAGAGAGAGGAGTCTGGAAACCATTTTGTCATTTCCTAGATCTGATGAGAAAATTCATTTGAATTTGTGTTTTACTAACGAGCCCAGTGTCATGGAGTGTCTTTGGTAGCATTTTTGTAAGCAAGCTGTGCATGTTCTAGTATTATAATTACACCAGTATTGCAGCTCTGGTATTCTTCATTCCCTCCTTACTTTCCTTCTCTCAAATCTCAAGAGACATTGTCTCTTGACTTCCTACATTTTGTTTCTGCTGAATGCCTTTTGGCTTAAATAGCACGAAGGAATTTTATATTCTCTTCATGCAACATTTACCCACTTACAGCCCCTATGTAATGCCCAAACCACTGCTTGCTTTTCCGAATACACTTTAGCTCTGGGTATTGCAACATGTAATCAACCAAGCTGCTGAGGCTATATTGGTGAATTAAAAAGCAAGGGATAGCGTCTGAATTGTCTTTTTTGTCTCTATTAGATCTATTAAAATTGCCTATTTTTAAAGGTTACATATTATTTAAGTCGTTTCAGAAATAACACATGTTAACAGATTTTTAAAATTGTAACGTTTAGAGTGGCCTACTCTGATTTTTAACAAATTAGTCATATATTGCAAGCAGACTGGAATAACATTTTTATCTGAATTTTTGTGTAGACCTTGCTGTTTAATCCGTGTAAACCTTTCTCGAGAGGCAATCAGAATGCAGATGTAGACCTTATGATAGACTGCTTAGTTTCCTGCTTTCGCATAAACCCTCAGAACAACCCATACCTTAAGGTGAGGCCATGATTTTATGGACAAGTAGTGTCTCCTGATGCTATTTATGACTTGTCAGATATCAAGGGTGTGCTAGTGGCAGCCAGAAATTCATAAATAATTTCAAACTTCTTAATATTTGTCAGAAATTCTTTGTGTGGAGTATTTTGTATCAATCTATTTCTGCTGTTCTGATCCTGCTTGTATTGACACTTTTTTTAAATTTACTAAAAGGGCGTTGGTGATTTGTTCAATCTGATCTTGAGAGATGTTAAAGAATAACAGTTTTCCCAAATGGCTTTTATATTAATGTTTTCCTTCTAGATCTGCTTGGCACAGAATTCCCCATCAACGTTTCATTATGTGCTGGTAAACTCACTCCAGCGAATAATCACAAATGTAAGTTTTAAAAGATTTAATTAGCCTAGAGGTGGTGAGTGATTTTATTTAGGAATTGAAATAGTCATTTGACTAGAATTTTAAGCAGTAGACTAAATCTTGCGCACTGTGCTCATAGTACTAGTTCTAGCACAATCATCGGGATTTGCCCATTTATGGACAATGGATTCAGGTCTCTTTGTTGACCAGTTGGGCTCACTGAGTTACAAGTCTGCATCTCTGTACAAATTTAATGCGCTGAAATGTGAGGATTAAAAAGCCTGTTTATTTTATCGTTTTTAATACAAAGTGCTATTTTCCTGTTGCATAACAAGCTTGCTCATTAGCCACTTATCAGGTTTCAAAATAGCCTGAGATTCTAATCACAATATTTGCATGGGAGCAGTTCCTTCACTGCTCCAACTCCTCTTGCTCTTTCCAGTCTATTGACATCGGTCATTTAGGGGAGGAGGACCTCGGATTCCATATTTTTATTATGGGAGGCAGTATTGCCTAGTGGATGGAGCAATGGACTGGGACTCGACAGATCTGGGTTCCGTTCTCAGCTCAGCTACTGGGTGACCTGGGGCAAATCACTTCACTTCTCTGTGCCTCAGTTTTCTCATCCATAAAATGGTGATCATGATGTGTACCTCCTTTGTAAAGCGCTACATACGTGCTAGGTGGTATTGGTGGTATTATGCCAGTGCCCTAGGGGTGCTTGTCATGGAAATGGCCCCATTATGGCAAGAGCTGTACCCACATGCAAAGTAGGTGGTCCCTGCCCAAAACAGTTTATAATCTAAGTGTAAAATGAGAGACAACAGGTAGATGTAATGAACAGATGGGCAAGGCTTACCCCTATTATCTCTACTTGGTGTGGGGTAAAAAGACAGGATAGGCATTTATTTTAAAAAAGTAAAAATTCTAGAACAGAGAATAAGCCCATAATCCAGATAGCTTTAAAAATATTTAAACCACATTGCACTGTGTAACTTGGAGCACCACAGGTTTCTGCTAATGCAGTAGCCTGCACCAAATCCTGTGGGCTCTGCCTAGGGCTGCTCTTGTAGTTTTGCACTAACTATGGGAAGAGCTTTTAACACAAAGCTTCTGTAACTAGTGCCTTTCACTGAAACATGAAATTGGATTTTCATTTTAAAACATAACTTTTGACCTTGAAATGGTTCTTTTCGATAACAATTGCTGCTTAATTTTTGTTGTCTAATAGAATATGCAATTTGTTCATATATGGACTTTGCACGGCTCTCAGGCTGAGTTTGAGCCTTTGGTCTTTCATGCTAAAGCATAACTCTCCATGCCCTCTTGTCTTCGATAAAAGTGACTGTGTGTTTGCTAATATTGCGAGTATGGAAGTCGTTTTTGATGAAGCAGAAAATCAGTAGGGAAAAGGGTCTTAATTTAACCCCTTCTGGCAAAAGAAAACAGAAAACTTGGAGTAGGAAAAAAACCCCTCATTCCGAGCTAATGAAATCTTTGTTATGAAAACTATTCTCCCTTCGAATAGTAATGCGTAGCCCATTTCGAATAATCATGTCTTAAACTGGACTTTAAATAGGAACTTCTTTAATTTGGCTTGCTTTTGTAATCTGTTACTAACTTCTCCAACGTCAGTCTAAATGACATTGATCTTAAAGTACATATTGACTGAAAAACCAATTATGACAGCAAGTAGTCTGTTTTGTCTTTTGTTTTGTTTAAATAGATTGTGATTTGTATGACCTGCTACTTTAGATTTCTGCAGTGGTTTCCATAGTATTTAGGGTGATCTCACTATAGGAAGCTTTTTACAGTTCCAAGACAGAACAGTAAGTGAAATAAAGACCTTTTTCTTTGACATCCCAGCAGCTATAGGTTTCAGTGTAAATTGTATCCTGTTTTTGGTTGATGTCTATTAACTCCCTTTCATGTGTTCTCTGAACATCAATAAATTGGTGTATATGGAGGAAATATTATGAAGTAACTAAGAATAGTTTTACTTTATTTGTTAATATGGTGTACATTTTTATTGCTGCAATTCTTGTACAAACACAAAATAAATGCTTTGTTTTCAGCAGTACATTTAATACGCTCTGTAATGAAGCTTTATAGACAGTATTAACCATTTATGATCCCAAAAGATTTTTTTTTTACTTGCAGTATGTTACTGTTTCTAGGGAACTGAGCATTTACTTTAGTCAGTCATGCATCATTTCCTCTAGACTGAACTCACTCACAGTCACTTTTTTTAATAGTTACTGTTTTCATATTGGGTGGCAGATCATAAAAGGTGGAAACTAAAATAAACAACTAAACTGGAGTATGGTGTGAAATAAAACCTATGCAAGTATTATGAATCATAGCGTTAGACGGGGGAGTTGACACAACTTCATTCAAGTTTGTGTATTTTCTTCCTAGTCTGAAGTAGACTGGTGGCCCAAGATTGATGCTGTGTACTGTCACTCCGTGGAACTCCGCAGCATGTTCAGTGAAACACTTCAAAAAGCTGTGCAGAGTTGTGGGGCGCATCCAGCAATTCGTATGACACCGGTAAGACTTGGGTCCGTGATTTAACAATTTTTGTCCTTTGCATTTTGTCTCCATTCCATTCCTGCTGTTTTATTCATCAATGTTAGTCTGGAAGATGGAGTAAAAATGTAGCAATCGCTAAAGCAACAGAGAGCCTTACATGCTCTGTAAACCTTGCGGTATTCTGTGTATTCACAAAGTATTCCTACTGAGTTAATTAGTGATCTTGTTTCTTAGCTTTTATGCTGCTCTCAGACCGACAAGATAGAAATAATCTACTTTCTGTAATACAGTCTGACTGTTCTTTTAAGGTGTCTTGCTATATCCAGGCCTATTTAGTGAAGGCAATACTTGGCCTTTTTTTTCCATAATCAGAATAATTCTACCCTCTGCTGCATAGAGCAGAATAAATTTCAGTAACTGCTGCATTTCTACATTGATGATGAGCAGGAGTTTTTGATTTGAAATGCTTTTCACTTGTTTTACTTACTCTGTCTTAAGCATGTTGGCTGTTTGGTCTTAGTGACAGCACAGAAATTGTAAAGATTTGCAAGCATTATGAAATGAAAACTGTTTTGATCATCTTTATATAAAAATCTTCAGTAAATTATAGATTAGTCTGTAGTATGATATCCAAATGTCTCTTGAAGTAGTTCTGCTCATTTTGAACTTTCCGTTTAGGACTTTCTATATTGTGCAAAGTTAACTTGTTTCTTTTCTGAATTGCAAAGATGTAGTTTTCAGTGTCCCAGATATTTACTGTCGCAGAAGGCCTAAAGCTATACATGCAGCTGAAATATTCCTAATAATTCAGTATTTTTGTTTAAAAGAAAAGGATTTGGGCAGATTTAGTTGAATGTTGTAGAATTCTTTAACTCAGTTTTTATATCTGTGTATATTCATCTGTTGAGAATATAGCAAGGGTATTGTACTTGGCAACTCTGAGATTGATTGGTGGTGCTTTGTCTTCTGCTTCTTATTTTCTGTTCTTATTGGCTGCTGTCGCTCACATGATCAGATGCCAACCAGTCACTGTTTTGCATGGCAGTGGGCCTCTGTTGCTGTAAGTATGACCCATTGTAACTACCGCAGAAAAGCCTTCAATTTCTTTGACTTTTCTGTGTATAGTTACCATTGTAGTCACATCACTTCATTTCAGATGGAATATGTAGCATGTCTTCACTTATAGGTTGTATGAAGTAAATAAATAAATCATTTCACAGATCAGATAAACCAAACAGCTTCCTTTCTGCCAGGCTTTTCTTTTCAGAGTTCCCTTAATCGTGACAAACTGATCATATACAGTTTTCTCTGGCAGTACAGTTGTCGCTTTTTGTCAAATGCTTTAAGTATGAGATTTTATTGTGCATCTTTAAGAGTGAATTTTTTTTTAGCAAAATAGTTTGGGATTATAAAGTCTCAAATTTGTAATTACACATACTTGAAAAGAATTCAAGAATAGGCTTGTAACCTTTGAGACTACTTTTTGTTCCGGGGTATGAATCTGTAGATCAAAAAGTTAAAATAAAAAGCTTGCAACTTCAGTGTTACTGCTTGAAAGGTATCTTCCCAGTAATAAATTCATTAATTTTTTAAGAGAATACTGTGTTCAGTGCTATTGTTGAGTCCCTCATGCATATAAAACTCAATAAAATAAATTGTAAAACTTGAAACACCATCATTTCAATATTGCTATTTTCAGACTTAAAAAGTAAGCAAAATTAGATGCTAATTACAGATTATATTGGACAAAAAATAGCATTGTGGTAGCACGGCAGGGCGCTCCGGCCCGAGAGCGGCGCTGCGACCGGGCTCGCCGCCCTCCCCGCCGCGCTCCGGCCGCCAGGGAGAGCGGAGCCGCAGCGGGCTCTCCGCCCTCCTCCCGGCGCTCTGGCTGCCGGGGGGAGAGCGGAGAGCCCCGGCTGGGCTCTCGGCCCTCCCCCCGGCGCTCTGGCCGCCGGGGGCTCTCCGCCCTCCCCCCGGCGCTCTGGCCGCCGGGGGGGGAGGGTGAAGAGCCCCTGCCGCAATGGAGGGGGGGGGGGGCGGCCGCTGGCTTTTTTGCCTAGGGCGGCAAAAAAGCCAGAGCCGGCCCTGGTAACACAGCTGCTGCTTAAAATGTGAGAAGAGTGAGTTCTTGCCTTAAAGTATTGTCATTTACATTAATATAGAAAAACAGCACATTAACATTACTGTGATTTAAACTAATTCGGTTTTAAAAACTCCAAGATGTTGAAGTTAAAGTAAATCCACCGATTCCTGTGCCAGCATAAGTGTATTGATTTTTGTTGTTGCTTGAGGGATAAAATAAATAACACTCTACAATTTCTTAGTAGTAGCTATATCTGATTTTCTTAGTATTGGAATAATTTTGTTCATAGGTTTTTCCCCACTTTCAGAAAACCTTTTGTGGGCAACTCATTGACAGATGAAATTCTTTTTTCCTTTATTATAATTTTAATAAAAATGATAACATATTTTTAAACAAACTATATTTTTAATAAATAAAAGGTTAAAGTACAAAAAAGTTATATTTATACTTTACTGAATTGCATATACAATTGTTAGCCATATACCTGTTTCCTTTCATGCATTATTGATTATAAAAGTAATAAGCTTTTTAAAATGTTACATTATCAACCCACTATATGTAGTACTTCATTGACAAATGCTGTAATATTTTTTCCTTAGAGTCTTACATTTAAAGAGAAAATGACAAGCCTTAAATTTAAAGAAAAACCTACAGACTTGGAAACCAGAAGTTATAAGTTTTTGCTGTTATCCATGGTAAAACTGTTACATGCTGATCCAAAGCTCTTGCTGTATGTAAGTAAATGTTACTTTTGAATTAGTGAAATCTTGGTGTTAAAAAAAATATAGAAAAAGCATTTTAGCTTTTTATTAAATATGAAGTCATAATATAAATAACCCTAGGAAATTAAGTCACTAAAGTATAAATACCAAAATAATAAAATTGGTAAAAAATAAAAATTCAAACCCAGAATGTTTAGCTCTAAGATGATACTACTTTTCTCTCTTCCCCTTTCATCCAATAAAGACAATTTGTGAAGGCAGCTTTCCTGATGTCCGTTATATAAACACCAGGCCCACTGCATTTCTTTTGCTTATCAGTGATGTGGTGAACCTGGACAGTGCATTGGGACAATCTCAGACAGTCATCTTAGTTGCTGATCATTGTGACGAGAATGAGAAAACAGGATAGCGAAACTGCAGGGCATGAAGTTCTTTGGTTCTAGAGAGCACCAGATTAAAGTGACAAAGGGTATAAAGCCCGTATAGAGGGGAAATGGATTGGGGAAGAAAATATGAACCGGAAAAAGAATTAGGGTAAAAATCTTGAGCAGAAAAATAAAAAAAGAATACTAGAGAGAAATTAATTAAAACCCAACTTGTAAAAACATGATAGAAGAGATGTTGAAAGACTGAGGGAAAGACACCAAAGAATCATAAGGGAGACATGAAAAAGAGAGGACAGTCAACTTACTAAGATATGCTTATTTTGTAAATTGATGTCATAATGGGTATTCCGTAAGGTTCCTTTCAAATAATTTTTCTGGGATTCTGCAAATCATAATATGGAAATCAACTCTAACTCGAGCATCAAAAATTGTTTGCAATTATGTTAAATGTACATCTTGAAAATAAAACTGGATGTACAATATTGCCAAATAATAATCATTTTATTATAATCTGAATCTTATAGTGGGAGTTGTGAAATTTTCTTTTGTCTGTTTTGTTTACTCTTCAGTTTGAATTTTTTTTCTAGATTGCCCCAAAAAAGTGTGGCATTCAAGGACTATCTCCCCAAAAAAAAAAAAAAAATCCAACAGCCCCAAGCCCTCTTTACTTGTAGGAGGATCTGTGAAAGTAGTCACCTGAAGTCTGCCTGCGGTTAATTTAGTTCTGTTGGCCAGGGTGTTGAAGGGGTCCGCATTTTAAGAGCAGATAAAACAGGGCCCATTTCAGAACAATGTTGCTTTTTAAACCATTTTTTCCCTTTACTGTTTAGAATCCAAGGAAGCAAGGGCCTGAGACACAGAGTAGCACTGCTGAATTAATTACTGGACTTGTACAACTTGTTCCACAGTCCAACATGCCAGAAATAGCCCAAGAAGCCATGGAGGTAAGGGAAGTGTTCTTCCAAACGCAGGGTGGTTAGCGTGCGAGTTGTGCCAAGCATATCAGGCTTTTTGTGTAAAAGCTTTTAAGTATTGATCAGTTTGTTTCCAAAATTGAGTGTTAGAGCTTGTCTACATGGCAAGTTACCACACTGCAAGCAAAGGTGTGAATTTGCAGCGCACCAGCTTGGAGCACGGCCGTGTAAACATTGGTACAGCACTCCAGGACTTTGACTGCACTGTAGCAATGTCCTCAGGAACGTGGTGTGTAGACGAGCCCTTAGCATTTGCTCTGTATTGATGCATTTTTCTAAAAGTATGTTCAATTGCAAGTTTGCGATACAGCAGAGGCCTATTTAAGGAAAGATTTCAAAGGTGTAATAGGGAATTATTGTCTTCTGTGGTCCTCCCATGTCACTGAGAGATTTGTTCCTCACTGAAGCTGGCCTTAAGCAAATCTATTTCAGAAGGGGTTTTATGGATCTTCCACTACATTGTAGAGAGCATTGTTAAAAACCTTCCACTAACAGCCTGCCTGTCTGCCCCAGTTCTTTCTGACTAGCTGAAATAAACATTCATTTTACGTCTGGGACCATGGCCAATGATTGTTGCTTTTTGAATCAGCAAGTGTGGAGGGGGCATATAAGCAGGCAAGTACATCTAAGGCTGTTAAAATCCGTAATTAAAGTGCACCACACTTGAGGTAAATGAGCTTCAGTAGTCCAGCGGGCAAAACACCAAGATTGCTTCTGATTTCCAAGCCTTCCATGCCATATTGCTAATGTAAGGCTGCTGAGTAAGTTGCCGTTCAGTTTGGTACGTTCATATGTTTTCATGGTGGTAGAAATGTATAACCGATTTAAAACATATTGAAAATAGGAGATGTCAATTTCTTTTGGTAGGTGAGAAGGAAAGATTCTATGTCCCAATTAAATTACAAGTTATTAAATTGTCCTGGATTACTGTGATTTGAGGCACTGTGTCTAAGACTTCTATCTTCTACACTTCAAGGGGGAAAACTTTCAAATATTGAAGGAAAGGATATCTAAAACATTCTTCAGTGTGTTGCTTTTACTGCTTCACTGAATCTTTGTAGCTAAATTCTGTGGCTTGCATTGCAGCATTTCCATCAACGATAATCACTCCAAATGTTATAGTATCAGTATTCTGGATATGTTGTTTTGGCCCAGAATACAGTGCTATCTTTTTAAATAAGCATACCCTGACTGACCTGAAAGTGTTTTGGACACTTTTAAATATGACCCAAAACTCCGCCAAACCCATCCTATTAATGTACAGTGTTGTATTAGATGAAGGATTTGATTTGCCATTAGTTATGTTACTTAGTTTAGGCATGCTGGGCCAGACTTTGACCTGGAGTAAGCCGAGGTAGCTCTGTTTTGAATGGAGTACCAGCAATTTACACTAGCTGAGAATCTGGTCTGTTTTATGTTCTCAATCTTTAACCCACTTACCATCTTTTTTTCTTCTAGTTTAGTTATTTCAAAGTGGTTCCTGTTACGAACTATTCTGAAAATCATTAAAAGTTGCTACACAAGTGTGTGGGGATCTGCCCTAGCTGATGGAAATGTCACTTTCAATGGTATTATTTTGCCACCACAGCTCTTACAATCTCTGCTTTCATGGAATTTGTTAGATTGATAAAGTTAGGAATTTGAGGTAGAGCTGCTTATTCTATCGTTGATTTTTTTTTTTTTAAACACCAAAGTATTAAATTTCTTTGGTCGTTTTAGCAGGGGTCTTCAAACAGTAGGTGATCTTACATGAAGCATCTCATTTGCCACAATACCCAAATATAATTACTGATGGAAGTGGCAGCTTTGAATTTAAATTTCCCTTGCTCTTGAGAGCTTGCCATAAGTGTATTTGGGTGAATAACTTGTAACCAGCAATTTTACTTTTTCTGCTTGCTAATTGTCTGTGACTTTGTGATTTTTCTCACATTTATTTGCCAAATATTTTCCAGAAGAAATTATTAGTGTTCAGCTCATTTGTGAGTATTTGCTATATGAGCTGTCACTTTTGATTGGGCACGTAGGTAACCTAGTACATTTCTGTTCTTTCAAGTTTCTGGTGTGAATATGCATATTTAAAATTCATAATTACTTTTCTGCTAACATTTTCCAATAGTTGTTTAAACCTTGCTGTTTCCTTAAACCAATAAACTTGTCCAAGAGAATAATTGAGGAAAACAAACCCGAAAGAGGGGCAAACATAGTTTTAAAAATGAAAATATTTTTGAAATACGCTTGCTAATACTCTCCCAGTTCTGGTCAGAACCAATTGTTATTTTAATTAACTTTTTGCAAGTTGAAAACGTAAAGAAATTGCCTCTCTTCTCTTAAAACAGCGAATTCTTAAACTACAGATGTTCTATTGTTGCTATTCTAGTTTTGTACTAGCAGGACTGCTGTTTCATTACATTTTTGCAGATGGGTCATTGAAGTAAACACTAAGGTCAAAAATTCCCTTTTTAAAAGACTTGACATGTCCTTGGTTCATTTTGGAGATTTACATGCAAGTAATACAAGATAATTTATCAAGTTTGGATTGTAAATATTTTAAAAAAGCTAAGAGATGATTATGGCAGCTTGCTTAATAATGAATTTTTGCTTTTCCATAAAATTGCATATTTTTGTTTTCCATTAGATTTACTATTTTAAACATATATATAATTAATACTTGGATTCATATATATTTAATCTACTTTGCTGCATATGCTGAAGTACTTTGCAAATTATTTTCTCTTAAGTGAAAAGCTACTCTGTTTTGAATTCAGGCCTTGCTAGTTCTTCATCAGTTAGAGAGCATTGATTTATGGAATCCAGATGCACCCATAGAAACATTTTGGGAAATTAGGTAGGTAAATTAGCTTTTGTAAATCAGATAAATAGTCCTGTCTGAGATGTCTTTTCTTTTGACGTAGCTGTGGTTTATACTTGTCTGAAAAAAGCCATGTAGTTTCAATACGTCTTTAAAACCAAAATTATTCATATATACGCTATCTTTAGTTCCACAGAAACCTTTTTCCATTGTACTAGTTAACTTTTACAGAAATTGCATATCACAAATATCTTGCTAGCTTTGTCAAAGGTTTTTAATCCAGTATTCAGTTGTTACTGTGGCTGTTAAGATAAAAATTATAAACATATTTTTAATTATCTGATTGAAAGGCTTACTATTTTCTTTTTTAAAAATTGCATTTATGGGTAAGGCAGGATAAATCCGACAAACCCACTCTTACGGAATTACTTAATATTATTTCTGAAACTAAAGCTCACCTTATGTGGAAGTTCATTTCACTGATGCGTGGGTCACCTGACTTGTCTTAAAGGGTTTTTTAATAAAGAATTCTTATTGACTAAAGATAATCTTGCATTTTATTTAATAACTTTTAATGTAGCCATTGCAACAATTGACTCAATAGATGAGAATATTAGGGAAAAGGTATTACAGCACTCCCAAGAAGTCAAAAATGGACATTAAATGTGACCCTGCATGAACCTGAAATTGTGAATCCTGCAAATAAACTAAAATATTTCATGTTTTGTCATAGGATGTGTATCAGTACACAATTTTTTTTGTAGGAGAAAGGAAGTTAATATCTGTTTCTAGAAAACATTGCTCTCCGCATCAAGAAATTAGTCTTTATTGGTGCATTATATGGCTTCAGGGATTGGTAATGGGAATAGCCTTTCACCTTTAAATTTTTGGTTTGAGTCCTGCTTAGGCTAGCAGTAATTGAAACTATATTATATAGCTATAATGCCTTTGTCGTCTCTTCAGGCTGGGGGCAAAAAACCCATAAAAACTGACACTAATTGGGACTCTTTGGCAGTTTTAACAGAGTACTGAATGGATTTGAACTAACACTCCTAGATGTGTGTTCCTTCCTAACAGAGTTGAGACCCCTCAGGGCAATGTAGGTAAACTTGTACTGCCCCTGTCTGTGCTGGATCAGTTGTGATAAATGGAGGTCTTCTGAATCAACAGCCCTGAAAACTGGCCATCTGAGAAGTACCAAAATCACTTAACTTCCTCTAGGGAATAAAAAATGGCCAGTTGGGAGGTGGAAAGGCACAGCTTTGTTGTTTAAAATATACTCTATATATTTTAAATGGGCTATTATGTCATGTAGGATATTCCTACTAATTCCCTGATGCCATGTAATGATATATGGATAAATGCACACATACAAAATGGGGAATGACTGCCTAGGAAGGAGTACTGCGGAAAGGGATCTGGGGGTCATAGTGGATCACAAGCTAAATATGAGTCAACAGTGTAACACTGTTGCAAAAATACCAACCATCATTCTGGGATATGTTAGCAGGAGTATTGTAAGCAAAACACGAGAAGTAATTATTTCGCTCTACTCCGCGCTGATTGGCCTCAACTAGAGTATTGTGTCCAGTTCTGGGCACCACATTTCAGGAAAGATGTGGACAAATTGGAGAAAGTCCATAGAAAAGCAACAAAAATGATTAAAGGTCTAGAAAACCTGCCCTATGAGGGAAGATTGAAAAAATTGGGTTTATTTAGTCTGGAGAAGAGAAGACTGAGAGGGGACATTACAGTTTTCAAAAACATAAAAGGTTGTTACAATGAGGAGGGAGAAAAATTGTTGTTCTTAACCTCTGAGGATAGGACAGGAAGCAATGGGCTTAAATTGCAGCAAGGGCAGTTTAGGTTGGACATTAGGAAAAACTTCCATAACTGTCACAGTGGTTAAGCACTGGAATAAATTGCCTAGGCAGGTTGTGGAATCTCCATCATTGGGGATTTTTAAGAGCAGGTTGAACAAACACCTGTCAGGGATGGTCTAGATAATACTTATTACTGCCATGAGTGCAGGGGACTGGACTAGATGACCTCTCAAGGTCCCTTCCAGTTCTATGTCTCTATCAAGAAATTGTATTTGGGTTATTAGATAATATAGCTAATACCGAATTTCATTTTGCTGCAGTTCACAAATGCTTTTCTATATCTGCAAGAAATTAACTGGTCATCAGATGCTCAGCAGCACAGAAATCCTCAAGTGGTTGCGTGAGATTCTGATCTGTAGGAACAAATTTCTTCTAAAAAATAAAGTAAGTAAATGTTAATCTATTAGTTTATTAAATCAATTAGGTTTTTCTTTTTTACTTATTACCTATGTATATTGGGTAATTTCTTTGTGATTGAAAGAAATTTTACTAGCTCCCCCTATAGTTATGTTAATGCACTTTATCTTTCTTTACAGAGCAGAATGTGATATGTATCATGGTTTCGAATGGTCTGCATTTGGTTAGGTCTTTTTAAATACGTAGCTAAATCTGCTTAGAATTTTTTCTTTTGTTCTGTTTCTGCATAGGAAATGCATGTCTTCCAAAAGGTTTGGAAAATGTTCTTTGCGGAACTAAAGACTTGTTGATCACTGCTGCTTTAGATAGGAAAATTGTAAAAAATTTCCTTCAGTGCAAGAAAGATGAGGAGGATAATGTGTACATCTTCAGACACAATAAGATACCCTTTCTTCTGACATGGTAGAATGACTTCTAAAATTCTGTCCTACTTCTCTTTCTTATAGTCTATTTCAAAGTAGAAGCCCAGACACTCTAGCTATTGCAAGATCACCTCTGAGAAAATCAGTAGCTAGATGGAAAACCAAACCTGTTACATATTCAGCAGTAAAGAAGGCCTAATTCAGGGTAGAGAAGGGGGAATAGTGTTCTTAAACTTCAGTTCCAGATAACTGAAAATACCAATGATTGAAGGACATTGTCTTTATTTTTGGACTTCTTCACATATACAGTGTTTCTTAAATAAGCGAAGATGTCCAATTTAGAGTGAGAGGATTTTCTGACTGTATGACTTGTTTGCCACTTGAATCCCTATCATTAACTTTGTTACTACATGAACTTTTTTCTCGTTCCTACTTTATGCTGACTACCAAACAGGTCTGTTCCTTGGGTATCTCCTATTCAGTATTTATAAAATGTGTGTGTGTGGGGGGAATTAAACTTCGCCCACAACTTTCATTTTAGTGTATCTTGTACTTGGGATTCCAAAAGCACTATTTGCTCACTGCATTTTTACTATCTCAAGTGGGATTCCTGTTTTCTCTGAAGTCCAGTTTCTTTACTTTTCTGGAGGCTCAGCTTGCAACTGTTTGTGCATATCCATCTTGTTTTACACATTGAGAAACTCAAGAGGCTCCTTCAGTTGTGCTTGTAGATGCAGAGGGACTTGATTTGGGCCAGCTCTTCTTGTGATTTTGATCTTTGGGCAACTTTTTTGGTTGTGATTATCTCTACCTAATATGTCATTGTACTCCAGACTCTCGATTCATCCTCCATTCACCATTTTCCACGAGAACAAGGTACTTCACCCCTTTGCCTGAGGTTCTTACTAAAAGCTGTTTTGAACTTTCAACTTCTATTGTTACTTTTCCTCCATGCCTCTCCTGGGGAGTTTGATCTTCATGAGTTGGATGTGAGGGGGACTTGAATACCTTGATAGAAAAAGGACTTTTCTGCAAGTCGCCAAGTCTGTAACCTTTACAGTGAATTTTAAGGGTTGATCTATTTCAGTGCCCAGTCTTTGCAAATACAGTGACTTGTGTTTTCAGTCCCGCTGTTCACGAGTCCAGGTAGCCCGATGCACATTTGTCTTTGGCACAGATATGTGTAGTTTAAATACTATGCCCATCCCTGAAATTTGTAGAACCACTTTTATCTGGAGCTTGATATTTATTATTGTATGCCCACAATGTGCTAAGAGCTTTCCAAACACACCTGAAGATACAGTATTTGTCCCGCAGAGCTTACAGTCTCAAAGACAGAAATCAATTCACAAACATAAAGAAAATGTCAAGAGTTCTTGTGGGCTTATTTTTTTTTAAAACATTTTCCCGAAATCATTTCCCTTGTCCCCCTGACTAGGTGCACCAGTGAATTTGGTCCATAATGCTTCTCCATTGTGCCCATTTCCCTATAGAAATAAGTTTGGGCATAAGATGAAGAAAGGAAAAAGTCAGTGGACTTTTGCCACAAAAATTACACTAACCCAAACAATGCTCTGGCATCGTCGAGGCAGCTGATTCAAGGTAGTAAGTTGTTTTTTGCTTTTCTTTTTTTTTCTTTTCGTTTTCTGATATGTACTTTAAAAAAAACAAACCCTCTCCTCATAACAAAACATCAAGTCAATTCTCAAGACAATTGGTCCTCAAGTTCTTATCCCTAGAGCTCAGGTATTCAGAGTACAAATTAATTCAGATCTTTACTGGAACTGTCTGCAGTATACTATCAGAGATTTTCCAAGGCTTTTAAGTCAGAATCAGCTATTCTTCAAGTTAAGAATCATCTTAATATTTATTGTTTCATTTCTTGGTAGAGAAGTTAAGGTAAAACTTGTACTAGATATGGTTCTGAGAAATGGGTCTTTTAACAAAGTTGTCTCAAATTGTTTTCTCCTGAACATTTAGATGGTGATAGCTAAAATCAACCAGGTCAGGCTGTATTGTTGCCTGCTACCAAAATGGCAGTACTATCTGCAACTGGCTGAAGCCTCAAAAAGTGTCAGTGGCTTCAGAGAGATGAGGGCATGGGGAGATAGTGGGACCCCTGATGCAAGAAATGTCATCAAATGGCGGAAGAGATGAACCATGATTTAACCCATGGCAGCCATAAACTGGAGGGAAGGCAACAGGAAACAACCCTCTGTTTTCTCCAACAAGAGCTATCGTGGCAGAACAGAGGCATCACGCTTGGCCATGGCTTTCCTTCCAAAAGTGTTGAAAACTGTGGCATCTTGAAATGTACGAAGGTTGACTGGTAAAAAGCTCAATATTTTGCTATAGCGACTTACTGATGTGAAACCTGGAAAACGAATGCTGCAGACAAAACGAAAATTGAAGCCTTTGAGTTGTGGTGCTGGTGAAGACCCTTACTTGTTTTCTGGTCCGAAAAGAAGATGAGTGCTTATGTTAGAAATATTGTTGGAGAGAAATGGACTCTGCTGTTAGAAATCAACAGGTGCAAAGGGGTATACTTTGGTCACATCAGGCACAGAGCTGGAAATAACTTCAAAAGTTATCATGAAAGGAATGGTGGCGGGTCATTGCAGTAGAGGATGACCAGCAAGGGGAAGGATAGATCGTGTGTGTAGATTACTGGGAGACCAGCTGCGGAGTGTGTGAAGTTAATGATGGATTGAGAAATCTTCTGAAAATTCTACAGTCACCAGTATTCAGACTTACTTTTTCCTAACCGATTTTAACTAGTAACGGTTGTTTTTTAGAGCAACTTTAACTCTGCTCCATTTCGCAAACAGTATTTTCTGTTCCTGTTTTATCCAGTTAAACCTGAAATATACCCAGTAAAATATACAACAGAATTAACATTTATTGGAGCTGTAATTCCTTCACTTTCTTGACTTGCAACTTCAATAAACAGTTTCCACTTCATTATTCAGCAAATGTGGGTTAACATTCTTTTGGGATTGAGAGAATTTTTTCTCTGCTTCCCTCCAGTGTAAAAAGAAGTCCTCCCGGAGTAAAATGTGCTGATTCCACTGATGATTTTCATATTCCATAGTCCCTATTTTTAAGAATTGAACTCTAATTTTCTCCTCTTTTAGGAAATGCCTTCAAGGAGTTTCCAGAGATGTTCTGGAACAAACATGCCCATTTCAGATGGGCATGAACTATTCTTGTGCTCTTATGGCCCTCTGCAGTCTTCCATTTTTGCCCCAATTTTTTCCTCAAGTGAGGTTTAGGGAAGTATTTTCTTCCCTGAGCTATTGTGTGAAATCTTTGCTACCTAAAGCATCAGCCTTTAAGCTTGGCATAAGGATAGTTCTTGCAGGTCAAACCTGTCTGTTTTTGTCATTCTATGCAAGATCTACAGGCATTCTAAATAATGAAGATGCCCAGAGGGAAGGAAGTATGTGGAGAAAATAGGTAGCGTCTTCCTGAGCTGGGGAAGGTGCCTTTGCTGGATTTCTGTCAAGATGTATCTTCTATAGTGCTAAAAAGCATTTCCAGGCTATCCTTAATGTGACATATTTGATCTTACAAAGTTCCATTGTCAGTTTCTCATCTGCATTTACAAATCAGTGTTTGTTCCTCTGTTTCGAATATGTACAACATAGTTCTCTTAATACTTTCCTCTGTATTGCTTTAACAAGCAGTTTAATAAACTCTCTGCCACCTTGTGCAGACAAGATAAGTAGCAGTATTAGAAAACGTATGGGCATTGACCTGTTCTCCAGGCCAAATTTCAGCTTGAGTTTCCTCTGCATTTGACTTGGGTGTGGTATTCACTTCCTGTCTGCTGTGTAGTGTGGCAGTGTGCGTTATTACAGGTGCTACATTCCATCCCAGAGGTAGCTGCATTTCAGAGGTGAGTGACACAATTACTATGAGTAATTTTTGTAAGCACTTTGGGAGCCTTCAGGGTGAAAGATGCTATAGAAATGGAAGAGGTGCTGTTTTCCTTTCGTGAGTGTAGCTGCTGTAACCCATCCTTTTTCCCTTATAAAAGTAGGGTAATTGACTATTTTTCTTACCTCTCTTTACAGCAATCAGATAGGAGTTCCTGTCATTTTCTCTTCCTTTATGGGGTAGGATGTGATGTCTCTGGCGGTGGAGCTAGTCAACTTTCTCTTGACCATGAAGAGATGCGCTGTGCTCCGGGAGCTACCCTCAGGAAAGGGAAAGGCAACTCTTCCATGGTAATTAACATTTTGTATTCTTAATACTTTAAAATAAATAAACTCCATTGCCACCCTCAAAATCAGTTACATTTGTACTCCTATATTGAGATTATTTTCAAGTATTTTAAACATTATGTGGGTGCGGGGAAGAGTATAGGGGAATTTAAACGTAAACTTCTCATGCGCTAGGTGTTGATGTTTGATCAAGGCACAACTGTTCTGTATCATGGCTGCTGCTGTGCTATTCTGGCTAGAGTAAATGCAATATTTTTAAGAGTTTGAAACTAAAATTTTGGTGTCATCTTCATAGAGCAAAAACCATAATCTGTTCACACATTTGTCTGCATTTATTAAATCTCAGACTTCAGATTTCTAAATCTCCATGCTATCTGAACACATGCTAAATAAAAAAAAGCACAAGGCAAGGAAGATGTTCATCCTTGTTTGAATAAAGGGGCTCCCTTTATATGCTAATTTTTTCAGCTCTTCACCTACACCATGAACTAGTTATGGAAAAAATTGAGCAGAAGTTTGTAACTGAATCTGTCATGAGCCAAGATTTGTAACTTGCCTTTTTTAAATTACCTTTTTTTGGTAATCTGTAACAATGTACATAACTCTTAAAACATTTTAATCTTTGAAGCAGTTTATAAACATAAGTTGGTTTTTCACACTACTGAGAGGTAGATGAGTAGTATCCCCATTTTTATTTATGGGGTAACTAGGGTAGAAATAGTGACTTCTCCAAGAACACAAAGGGTTAGAGATGGGATTAAATACTTTGCTCTCAGTCCTGTGCTGAGACTACTAGACCGCACCTTTCTAAAGTCTACTGCTGAATGAAGAAAATATAAACGTTCTAGTCACACATCAGATATCAAACTAATGACATTTTCTGTTTAAGTAAATGTTGATGGTTTTATGAGGAGGGGTTGCGTTATTTTGGTGAAAAACACATTAATGGAGAAACAAGTTGTTACACACACCTGCATTTGATAATACTTCCCTCCTCCCACACTTGTCCATTTATAATACCTAGCTCTTATATAACACTTTTTTCTTCAGTAGATCTCAGTGTGCTTTATGTAGGAACTATGTATCATTCCCATTTTACAGCAGGGAAACTGAGGTATAGAGGGTGAAAGGACATGCCAAAGGTCACCAAGTAGGCCAGTGGCAGAGCCAGGAATAGAAGACAGGTCGCTTGAGTCCAGTCCTGTATCCACTGGGCCACACTCTTTGTTTAAGGGACTGTCTCATCTTGGGTGCTGTACAAACACACAGTAAAACAGAGCCCTGATCTCAGATGGGGCTGTTGGGTGCTACTGGAATACAAATAATGTGCAGGAGCAGGAATGGGATAAAGACCTATTCTGAAAAAATTGCCTGTTAAGTAATATTACCAGATATGCAAATATATTTTCCCCCCAAGGAAAGTACAGCAGGATGCAGTGGAACTCCAATATGTCGCCAAGCCCAAACAAAATTAGAGGTTGCCCTGTACATGTTTCTGTGGAGCCCTGACATTGAGGCAGTTCTCGTTGCGATGTCCTGTTTCCGTCATCTCTGTGAGGAAGCAGATATCAGGTGTGGAGTAGATGAAGTCTCGGTACATAATTTTTTGCCAAACTACAACACCTTCATGGAGTTTGCGTCTGTCAGCAATATGATGTCAACAGGTAAGAAGGGTGAGACTAATCAAACTTTTTGTCTGCCTGAGTATTGTTTATGTTCTTTAAAGTATATTTCAAAATGTTAAAGTTAGTCCTGATATAACTGAAGTGCTGTAATACTTATCTCTAGTCTGTCTCAATCATGTGATTTCATGGAAATTTGCATGAATGAAGTTACGTGTAGAAAGACTAAAAATCTGTCTTTGATACAAGATATTTGAAGATTGCTTCCTCCTTGCAGTGCCTATGTAATAATATCAAGTATTGTAGGGAGACATTGACTGAATTTTTGAACACCTAGACCTGGTAGTTAAGTGAAGGAGAGAGTTTCCGTGAAAAAAATTGTTTATAATACAAATGTGCTTGTGATTAAGTCTTACACACAAGTCTTCTGGGTTTTTTAAGAATATTCATTTTATTTATGCAAGCTTTCATCGCGAATAAAGATTTATTTTAAAATAAAAATGGCTGTTACATTAATGTTATTGTATACTCCTTGCTTAGGGAGAGCAGCTCTTCAGAAAAGAGTGATGGCATTATTAAGGCGCATTGAACATCCAACTGCAGGCAACACTGAAGTAAGTTTTCTCTTTATGAAAATGTTTCTTATGGGTAGCTGAAAATATGTTGTGTGGAAAGCAATCGGTAGTGTTGTAGGAAGTAATCTGAGGTAACTACCTGCAATTCTTGATGTATTGTATTTTAGGCATGGGAAGATACACATGCAAAGTGGGAACAAGCTACAAAACTAATCCTCAACTACCCAAAGACCAAAATGGAAGATGGCCAGGTACTCTGAAGCTTTCTATCTATTCAGTTATCAGACGTGCTGACAGAAATCTTGTATTTTCTGAATAGTCATTTAAGTTGACCATATTAATTTATATCTAAACTTACATTTAAAAAAAAAAAGTATCTGCACATTAGCACTTTTCAATCAATCCCTCATATGGGTGACTTGAGTTACTTCTGAATTCATTCCATAGCTAATGAGTTGTTCCTGTGTGCTCTGTGGTGATCCACTGAGTTGGGCATTACCTCTAGATTATACTAGTGGGTTCACTTTTTCTCCCCACTTCACTGAGTACAGAGTATAGTTGGAAACAGAGTAATCATGATCAGAATCAGTGTTTCTCAAGCTTATGGGAAGTCAAAAAATTTTTACATCTCCCTTACATTTACTATGAAAATAAGGGTTAAAAAGTATCATTGGTAGCAATCATAAGCCAGTATAGTCTCTTTTTTTTTTTTTTTTTTTCCCTCAAGTGGTTGACAGAGAATGTGCTGTATGGATACATTTCAGTTTACACACTCCTGCCTACTTGCTCTTGATATAAAGATTTGCAAAATCTCCTGAGAATTGAATAGTTTGTTTTTTTTATTGACATTGTTGTAAACTTATAAATTAGATTTCTTTATTGAATGATACTTAAAATGTCTGTTTTCTTTATCTGATAATTGCTTGTAATTCGAGAGCGATCTCATTTTGAACAACTCTTTTCCAGGTTACTGATAGTCTTCACAAGACAATTGTCAGGCGACGAATGTCTCATGTTAGTGGGGGAGGCTCCATAGACTTGTCTGACACAGATTCTCTGCAGGAATGGATCAACATGACAGGGTTCTTGTGTGCTCTCGGAGGAGTGTGTCTCCAGCATCGTAGCAATGCAGGATTAGCAACTTACAGCCCACCTATGGGTCCAATCAATGAGCGTAAGGGCTCCATGATATCAATGATATCCACCGAAGGAAATGCAGAGACTCCTGTTAGCAAATTCATAGATAGATTACTATCGCTAATGGTCTGTAACCATGAGAAAGTGGGACTTCAGATACGGACTAATATTAAAGATCTGGTGGGTCTGGAATTGAGTCCAGCACTTTATCCAATGTTGTTTAACAAACTGAAGAATACCATCAGCAAATTCTTTGACTCTCAAGGACAGGTAAAATGTTTGGATATGTTTTCATATTTTTATCATATTGAAAATATCAGCTATCTTACCATTCACATAGATATTTAAAATTGATACCTACCTCTTTATGTTTGTGTTTTTACACAAAGAGCCAGAGAAGTATTTATTACATGATGGAAGGCATCACGATGATATTTGTGTGACTAGACCATACAGTTCTTAATTTGCATTTGAGATTCCAGACTATATTAGTCTAGCATGCTTAAATTCCTTGTAAGTTTCTATATTTTAACTATCTTCCTACTTAATAGGATTTATATTCTGAGAAAATGCTGTCTTTATTAGATAAACTTTCTGAGACCATAACTCTGTTAAGTGTTGGAATTCTTCTGAGTAGGTTAATCAGAACGATACTCTTGCATTAGATTTCTGCCGAGTGCTACAGTAATATAAATATTTACTAATACTATATACATTTCATTCAGTTATTTTTGGGCATCACCTCTAAGAATTATGACTAGATGTCTTCTTCCTATAGGTTTTGTTAACTGAGACCAACACACAGTTTGTAGAGCAGACAATTGCTATAATGAAAAACCTGCTTGATAATCATACTGAAGGGAGCTCAGAACATCTGGGGCAAGCTAGTATAGAGACCATGATGCTAAATCTAGTCAGGTAAGAAATCTTGACTGTTTCCCCTCTGCAGAGTAAGTCTTTAGATAATCAGGCAGTGTCTCCACCGCCCTCCATGCTCTGTTCGGGTGCAATAGCAGGGATGTAGGAAGCTGGTTAATGTTCTGAATCTCAGACCCTGGCAGAAGTTAAAGCTATAGGGGTGCAACACTGCTTTTTTGCCATGATGTAAGGTCCACCAGTAGACAGTCAAACCTAGTGGAGCTATCAGCTCCGCCATTCCCCATCTCCTCCCTTTCTCTCACTCCCTATCCCCCAAAAATTCATGACGTGTCTCTCTCCCACTACATCTGTGGGGGTAAGTGGGGACCAGTGTAGGATGGTGCAAAGCCATCTCAGGCAGCTTCCCTTGCACAGAGGAAATTCTTCACTGGCTATCTCAAGCTGGTTTAAAGGCCACTGGGCACAGGTTGGAAAATCCGGCCCAAGGTCTGCAATGACTGGTTATACAAGTGTAATTCTAGACGACCAGAAGAAATGCCTCAAATGTGTTCCCCCTCTTCTGCGCCCCCCCCTCCCCCCGATGCTTTGAAATGAATTTATTTAGTGTTTTACGTTTTCTGACCTTCACAGATATGTACGTGTGCTTGGAAATTTGGTACATGCAATTCAAATAAAAACTAAACTCTGTCAACTAGTGGAGGTAATGATGGAGAGGCGAGATGACCTTTCGTTTTGCCAAGAGATGAAATTTAGGTGAGTACTAAATTAAACAGTAATTCCAATAATAATGATTCATAATAATAATAGTGGTTCTATTTGGGGTAGTGTTTTCTTGTGGAGTATAGTGGGCAGGTGGGTATGGGGGTGACACTTTCTTACTAACATGCAAAACATTTTCTTGTTTCTTTGTATTTAATTTAGGCCTCAATCCTGCATCAGGGTTTGCTACCATGGACCTCTATGCCTGTGCAGAGTCCTCTTGAAGTCTGACAGTAGGGACTCTACATGGGTGCAGGGTTCTAATGGAAGTCAGTGCAGGATCAGAGCCTTAATCAATACCCTCCAGTTACTAAACCGAGTTAATCGTAAGGTTTGCAGTTTAAATGTGTCTTTAAAATATAAAGCTAATAATTAAAAATACCATCTTGAGCAACATCAGCTTCTGACAGTATATTTTCATTTTTCTGTGCTGTAATATTTCTTATAGGAACAAAATGGTGGAATATCTGACAGACTGGGTTATGGGCACATCCAACCAAGCAACAGATGAAGATGTAAAATGCCTGACAAGGTAAGAGAGGTTGATAGAATACTCTTGCTGTGGCTATGGCTACACTGCATGCTAGAGGGTGTGATTCCCAGCTCGCGTAGACATACTCAGGCAAGATCCTGTCTAAGCTAGCATGCTAAAAATAGTAGTGCAGCTGCAGCAGTGATTCAGGCTAGCTTGTGCTTGGAGCTGCTAGCACGGTGGCGCTGCTGCTGCTGGCCGTGCTACCATGGCTGCACTACTATCTTTAGCATGCTAATTCAGAAATAGATACAAGCTAGACATCGCACTTCTAACGGGTCTCAGAGCTTGTGTACGTGACCATTTAGTTCATGGCAAAGCTGGGGTGTGAACCTGCCCCTCATAAGCCTTCCGTGGACTAACTGTGTGGACACTGCTGACACATGAACAATTAGTTAATGGGCTTTCGTCTAGTTCTCTTTCAAGTGGGAGTAGATGAGAGCATGTGAATGAACTGTTAATGCGAATCAGCAGGGTCCATGCAGATGGTCTGCAGCAGACTAGTGGAGAGTAGAGTCACGCTGGGGCTAGATGCACAATCAGTTAAGGTGCCTAAGAAAATCACTTACATTCAGAGCCTGAGTGTCAACATGTGGGCTCTCTTTTCTGTGAATGGGGGAGAGAGGTGCCTGAGAATGGGATTCACAAAAAACTGTGTGCGAGGCAGCTCCTTGCCCAAGGAGCTAATTGGAGATGCCAACCACAGGGGTGTGTGCTAAGCTCCACCCCTCTTCCTGGGAGAGGAGCCTGAGTCCAGACCGTTCTCTGGCACCTATTCTTATAGCCAGAAGCCAGGGGAAGGAGAAGGAGGATGTTCCTCATAACTTTTAGCTCTGTGGTTAGTGCACTCCCTGGGTGATGAAGGACCCAGGATCCAGTCCCCCTGCTCCAATGACTTACTAATATTATTTTTATAGTGGAACAGCTTCAACAGGAGAGAGTGAGGGAGCCCCACATCAGAATATCCATAGCTCAGTGGTTAGGGCACTCACCTGAGAAGTGGCAGATCCCAGTTCAAATCCCTTCTACTCATCAGGTGGAGGGGGGATTTGAACGGGGGGTCTCCCCTGGGAGGACCCTAACCACTGGACTAAAAGTTACGATGGGAGTCCTTGTCCTCCACCCCCGGCTACTCCCCTAGTGTTTTGAGTAAGCTCATCTACAGGGGCCCGATCTGCTAGGTGTACTCTAAGCATGCCTACTGGATTGGGCCCGACAGTTAGATGACCAAATGTCTGTATCTTTCCCTGGTTCATGCATTGCTCTGAACTAGGGTGACCAGACAGCAAGTGTGAAAAATCGGGACGGGGTGGGGGGTAATAGGAGACTATATAAGAAAAAGACCCCAAAATCGGGACTGTCCCTATAAGATCGGGACATCTGGTCACCCTACTCTGAACCTTAGGCATCCGGATGCCCGGCATGGGGCTGCAATGTGCATGCTCAGAAGCAGAAACATAGGCACCTAGGAACTTTGTACTGCAAAAAATGTAGGTGCCAAACAAGCTTAGGTGCCTATAGGTTCAGCAGCAGCTGAACAGTGCTTTGTGAATCCTAACACAGCCAGATTCTGGGAGGCACCTAAAGTGGCAGTTAAGTACCTAAATCCTTTTGCAGATCCAGCCTTAAACATTTTTGTAGAGAAGCCCTCATCTGCTAAAGGTGATATGTAATATGATAAAATGTTTAAACTTCTTTTGGGTATTTTACTATAAAGGAAATACATGTTCAAGGCTTCCTTTGAAAAGAAAACTTCATTGTTTTGTTCAAGGATTTTTGCTTACCAAGACCCAAGTTCAGGTTCTGTTTCTCTTGTTACTTTATACTGTACACCTTGAAACAGAACATAGGCTGCATGTCTTACAACCTAAAGGAAAATGCAGAGCTCTGAACTTCAGTTTTGGCAAGTAAGAGGAAATTAACATTTTGTTTAAACTATGTAACTGTCATTTTTAAGATTAAACCTACAAATTTTTAAACAAATGGTTGAAGATAAAAAAAAAAAATCAGTTCACCTGTATCATTATGAATGAGAATCATTTGGACTTGCCATGAACTGTGACCAAAGCTAATGTCATTATGAGAACTGCAGAAAGTGTGATCATGCTTATATGATCCATAAGTATCTTATAAATTAGACTTAGATTTTTAGTAAGCACAGTAAGGTTTTTAGACTAAGATTATAGCCCTGAATTTGTATTTACCAGGCCTTATCCTACTCCTGTTGATGTTCGTAGAAATTCATTGACTTTAGTTGGAACAGGACAGATCCTAAGTCTGTTTTGGATATGTAGCCAAAATGAGCTACATAAAGTTAGAAGAAATATATATGCTGTCACTTGCTGTGTTTTAGGGTTATTCTTTAAATGTGTAATTTGGTCATAACTCACTGTCCAAAGTTGATGTACTGCTTTATGCTATGTGTAGTATACAAGAGTTTTTTTTTGTTTTGTTTTTTTTCAATGTGTGGAGCTTTTTAAAAAAGAATACGGTAGAGACACTTTAGCTGCAGTTAGGCTTATGAAGAAAGATGACTCCTTAAGTACTCCATCAAAGGAAAGGCTGGGCACTGGCCCTGTTTAATTTAACTCTTTCATTTTTGATTCAGAGATCTAGACCAAGCAAGTATGGAAGCAGTGGTCTCTCTCCTCGCTGGGCTTCCATTACAGCCTGAAGAAGGAGATGGTGTTGAACTGATGGAAGCCAAATCCCAATTATTTCTTAAGTAAATAGTCAAACAATTTCAATTATACTATAATTTAAGGCAGATACATTCTTCTGTGTTTATTATGAAGTAAATTTCTTTTTAATCTTGTAAGGGTTAATTTTATTCAGGGAGTTGCCTCAGTATATCCTCTGAATTTGCAAATCTCCACCTCATAGGTTTAAGCAAACACTTCAATTTGTAAAAGCAAAAATATTTGGAAAGCAGTCATTAAATGTAACTTTGTTTTCTCCAAGCGTGTGTATATGCTTGTTTCACAGAATTATCTTGTTTCGATTTTAATTTTATGAATGGAAGAAAATGCAATCTTTTAGAAAAACAATCCCATGAAATTCAGTTGCCTGGTCCGAGGAATTCTCCATGCAGGATTTGTGATACTGCCTTCCCACTCTCTCAATACATTCTTTAAAAGCCGTAGTATATAATAATAATCACAGTAAAACACAAAACAAAAAAAGAGAAAAATACCCAGAGCAAGTCTAACTTGTATTTCTGGGAGGTGTACAACAGAGTCGTTCTATTTTATATCCTAGACCATTCTGCTAGAAGACTTTTGACTCTGTAAAAAATTTGTCTCACTTATCCAGATCTACAAATGTTATTTTTGTTTTAGATATTTCACTCTATTTATGAATCTTCTAAATGACTGTAGTGAAGTTGAAGATGAAAGTGCACAAACAGGTGGCAGGAAACGTGGAATGTCTCGAAGACTGGCTTCGTTGCGACACTGCACTGTTCTTGCTATGTCAAACTTACTCAATGCTAATGTGGACAGTGGCCTTATGCACTCAATAGGTAAAGTAGTTAGAAACAACTGTTTATGATTCACATACGAAGGCTTGAGCCTTAATTAAGAAGTATATGACTTCATTACTCAAGTCTTTATTTGTTACTATCTTGTTAGGCTTAGGTTATCACAAAGATCTCCAAACAAGAGCTACATTCATGGAAGTCCTCACCAAAATTCTACAGCAGGGTACAGAGTTTGATACGCTAGCAGAAACTGTACTAGCAGATCGGTTTGAGAGATTGGTGGAATTGGTCACTATGATGGGTGACCAAGGAGAGCTACCTATTGCTATGGCATTGGCCAATGTGGTCCCTTGTTCGCAGTGGGTAAGTTGATTCACACTTCCAGTTACATGATATTTGTTAACCCTGAGTGCATTTGTTTTGTAAGGTGTAACCTGCTTATCTCCTTCAAAAAGTCTTGCATAAGACTTGGAATTAAATTTACTGCTCTGCCAATTTAACGATAATGTTGAAACAAAAGTCTTCTAAAGAAATGAAGAGTTGAGGCTACCCTGTTATGTGCTGTAATATGTGGCCTTTTTCTCAGAGGGTTCCACAACTGTGATTGGGTCTACTTTGCTGAGCGCTTTAGTCTAAACTAAAGCATTATGGTATATTTTAAAATAGTTCTTGAAACAGTAATTGTTAGCCTGTAATGGTAAAATAGTTTTTCCTTGTCCTTTTAATGTTGCTCAGTGTGGGGACTGTTGGGTATATGTACTGTAATACCAGAGTAGGCCTGTGTTTTGGTAACCTAATGTGCTTTTTCCCTGGTCTCTGTCTGTGCTCTGTTTATACAGTGGGCGAATCCATTAGACTTCCATCTTGGTTCGTCATAGGCTCACAAGTGAGATGGTTTTAGGAACTTACTAAAGAACCTACCATTATAACATGGTCTGATGGGGTACTTGAGAGATTTAGAAATAAAATTAGAAGTGGGGAATGGGATGAGCACACTTTAAGGTTTACTTGCAAGACTTAACAGGGGAATTCCTGCACTAGACCATGCTTCAGCCTATGCTATACAAAGTTTAATGTGGTCAAATATTTCAAAACAGTACAAACTACTAAATGGAAGAAAATATTTAGCACAAGCTAGAATACTTGAGGCAGATTGTCATTGACTTCTTTTTCTAGTGCAGGATACATTAGAGATGTTTGGGGAGGTTTTCACAATCCAGCCTCTTTACTGCTCTGACACACGAACCTCTTTTTTGCTGTTCTTTAAGGATGAACTAGCTCGTGTCCTGGTCACCCTCTTTGACTCCCGGCACTTGCTCTACCAGCTTCTTTGGAACATGTTTTCTAAGGAAGTGGAACTGGCAGATTCCATGCAGACTCTGTTCAGGGGAAATAGCTTGGCCAGCAAAATAATGACTTTCTGTTTTAAGGTAAGTTATATGAGCTTAGGTGCCTATTTATAAAATTCTTTTGAAGAGTGAAAGGCTAACAGGAAAAAATGTATTAACTCAGAAATGTGAAACTGCAGTTGGATTACATTAAGATAAGAGAGTTCTGATGACTGGAGAGTGCAAACTATAACTTGATGGCTGCATTTGTCTACACAATCACAGACAACTCTTGAAAGTTCATCAAGATTCCATGCAGTTATTTTTTATAAAGATGTATGGTGTCTAATCCTTGGAGACCTTCCATGCCGAGGCCTGATTTGGGATGGGGTGGTGCGGCAAAACTTTTGTGGAGACTTCATGACGCATCCTCTTTAGTTCACACTTTAAACTGGAGGCCCCCTTGAAAGTTTCCAGGGAGCCCAGTATTCATCCTGCATGGTGCGTGTGTTTCAGAGCTACCAGGGCGGAAGTTGAATACAATAATGGAAAAGTTTGCATAGTAGAAGTATTTATAGCACACTTAGTAGACACATTCAAGTCAATGATCATTAAATGCAAGGAGAGTATAATTGTTTCCTATTTGATGCAAGTGGTTGGACTAGATAACCCTCTTCTTATCCATCTTCTAATATTTTAGGACCTGTTAGGCAGTCACATTTCTTATGCGTATGTTTGCTTGTGTATGTAGCATTCTGGCTATGAGAACTACATAATCTGAGAATATATTTTAAGATTCATTGCTTGTACAAACATAATCAGATACAGGACAAAATAGAATTAGTATGTAAAGCTTGACATACTCAGTATTATATTCTTGTGCTTTGAGTTATGCTGGCCTGGCCACACAGTCTGATGTATTTTCTCCATAGGTATATGGTGCTACATATCTGCAGAAGCTCTTGGAACCTCTATTAAGGACCGTGATCACATCCTCTGAATGGCAACATGTCAGCTTTGAGGTGGATCCTACAAGGTTTGCAATGTGAAAAAAATTAACATGATTATTTATAAGGCTGTTTCCCATCCATAATAATTTGACAGGATTCATTTTTCTTTGAGTGCTTGCTCATGTTGACTTCATTCTAGGTGTGCGCACACCCCCATGCGTAGTCGTGGGAGATTTTTGCCTTAGCGGTATCCGTAGGGTCATCTGTGGCACCCCCTTGAGTTCCGCGCTTGGGCGTCGGTATATCAGGAGCTGCCTCCGCCCTCTCAGTTCCTTCTTACCACCCGTGGTGGTTAGTCAGAGGGCCTTCCCTTGCATAGCAAGGGCTAGGCGTTTCGTCTCTTCTGACTTCGGGCCTTAGGGCCTTGTAAATAGTTCGTTTATAGAAGTTAGTGTTAAATAATTGTTAAATGTAGTTAGAAGTTAGAGTCCCATCGAGGACTTCGCCCCAGGCGTGGCATGCCCAGGTCCTCCGGGGTTTAAGCCCTGCTCGGACTGCAACAGGCATATGCTTGTTAGGGACCCCCTCAGCAGTTGCCTCAAGTGCTTGGGGGAATCACGTGTGAAGGTCAAGTATCGTATCTGTAAACACTTTTGAGCCAGGACCCAGACGGAGCACAACATCCATTTGAGGGCTCCCCTCGTGGAGACTGCCCTCTGACTGGCTTCTGAGCCGTCCCGTCCCATCTGAACTCTACCGCTAGTACCTCAGCCTCAGTGCGTAGCACATCCCCGGCACCACTCTCCGCCACCGTGCCCAGGAAGAAGACCAACACAAACAGCTCCCCAGCACCAGGGAAGAAAGGCCATGGGGGGCATTGGGCAAAGGACCCAGTTCGGGCTGCCCGCCCACACTGGAGCCACGTGGACGTGCCTCCCCTTAGTCCCCCACATGATCCACCGCCGACTCCCTGGAGCAGTAGGGGATGCAGACTTGTAGCGGGATCGACGCCTTCCCAGGCTCTCCTGGCGCATAGAGAGCAGAGGCCTCTACTAGCGCTGCTGGCACCGCGTGTGCCCTAGGGAGTGGCAAAGGCTCCCTACTAGGCAAGGTAGTCGCCAAGACCCCCCAGAGGCAGTTGAGCGCCACCGATCTCCTGAGCCGAGGCAGTGCTCTCTGACTCCGTGCCGTAGATCTACGCTTCGCAGCCCAGATCCTCAGGGGCTCAGCCTAGATCACCGGCACCGTGTTCATGGTCTCCGCCCTCTTGATGTAGGTCGCCTGTGGGAGGCGCCGGTCTCTGTATTACGGGTACCATTCACCCTCCCGCTGGTCGTCTTCTCGGCGCAGGTCCCTGTCACCCACTCCAGGGGGACGATCTCCGTCGCGGTACCAGTCCTCCTATTCGAAGCACCGGTCTCCCGTGGCAACGATCAGCTAACAAACGCAGGCATCAATGGCTCCACTGGGGTCACCGCAAGGGGATTCCTCTGGCATGGAAGGGCAGTTTAGCCCCTTGCCGAGGCATCAGCAGCATGATTGGGCACTGGATGCTGCTTCGACTTCTATGGTGCCGCTGTGGCAGCATGGCCATTGGCCAATGCTGTGGCCCTATTGAAGTGTGTGTGGCATGTCTGTGATGCCGATGCCCCCCTTGCACCACTCGTCGGCCACCACCTCGGAGCAACAGTTGACGGCTCCGGGCTTGGTGCGGGAAATGCGCTCAGAGGTCGGCGTAGAGGAGCCAATCCCCACCACCAAACCCCCTTCCCCCATTGGGGGGTCATACCCCGGGGCCTCCCCTGGTACAGTTGTCGTCCTCATCCCCGGGGATGAGGCGGTGACGGGACCCTCAAGGGCCAGCCCACTGGGCGATTTTAAAGAACACCGGGCCCTGCTTCAACACATGGCTGAGAACTTGGGCCTAGAAGTGGAGGAGATGGCCAAGCAGGCGGACACCTTGTTCAGTGTGCTCTTGGCCTCTACCCTGCCCGTGTTGCACGACCAGTGCATGATGGGGTCCTGAAAATTGCCACAGCCCCCTGGCAAACCCCGTCGTCCATCCTTCCCACCTGCAAAAGGGCCGAAAAGAAGTCCGTCATCCCAGCCAGAGGTTTGAGTACCTCTATACCCACCCACCTCCAGGCTTGCTAGTCATCTCAGCAGCCAACAAAAAGGACAAGCAAGGGCACACCAGTTCAACCCCCAAAAACAGAGGCCAAAAGACTGGACCTTTTCGGGAGGAAAATTTATTCGACAGCCGCCTGCAATTCCGGGTGGCAAACCACCAGGCTCTCTTGGGTGGATACAGTTTAACTTATGGGACTCCCTTTGTAAGTTCAAGCAGTCTCTGTCGCACATTTACATGGGCCATGGATGGGAAAGGGGGTAGATGCCCCGGCGTGTCAGTTCCCCCTCCTCCACCACTGCGTACCTGAATATGGGCCATAAGAATCTGGCCTGATATGTGACTCTTGCCCATAGCTCTGCAGATCATCTGCTCTAAGCCACTGAACCAGTTGATCAACTAAGATAGAATAATTTTCCTTTTATATGGCCTACTTTGTCTTGATTACTCCCATATCTCCTCAGAATTTATACTAAATGGTTATTTTGTAGTTGCTTTTTTCTAATTCTGTTCTGTCTCCCCCTTTTCTTTTTTATTTTATACTAGCTAAAATAGCTTCCCCAAAACATAAGCTTCCTTTTCTGTGCTTGTATCCATATCTTTGACTTTGGGAAGCAATAAATGGCCACATTTGTAAATACCCCTTCTACCGGCATGAAATATACCTATCTATGGCTACCTCAGTAACTGCTTGAACTTTCAATAAAACCATGACCCTGGCAAAACTTGTTACTTATGCGGATCTTAAGGCACAAACAATACCTGTCTTGTTGGAGATGTTCTCAACTTTAGTAGACAGTTGCTGGACTTCTTGTCCTGCATGGGTATGTGAGACCCTAAACTGTGTGTGCATGGCTGGGTAATGATGGATGAGAATTCCATTATCATGGTTTTTTACAAAGCTGTAAAATGGCCTGATATTTGTGAACTACTTTGTTCAACTCATTCTGCCTCTTAGAAACATCTGCACAATAAATTTAATCTATTGGTAGGTGGTTAGCATTTCACAAGGTTGCTAGTAATGTTATACTCAGGGCCGGCTCCAGGCACCAGGCACCCAAGCTGGTGCTTGGGGCGGCACCTGGAGGGGGGCGGCGCGGCGCGGCGGCCGCCGGGGAGACCGGGGCCACAGCAGGGCTCGCCGCCCTCCCCCGGCCGCCGGGGGGAGAGCCCTGCGCTCTGGCCGCGGGGGGGGAGAGCCCTCCCCCCAGGGCTCCGGCCGCCC